AAATGAGTGTAGTACCTCTGAGTCTGAAGAAGAAGATTTTTGAAATATTGGTTAATTTTCCCTTTGGGGCCCCGCCCTGGCCCCAGGGGTTGGGGTAGGAATCCCAATTTTACAATTTTGAAGCCTCATCTACCAAGGATGATTCTGACCAAGTTTGAAAAAAATCCATCCACTGGTTCTTGAGAAGAAGTTGAAAATGTAAAAGTTTATGCACGACGCACGACGGACGAAAAGCGATTAGAATAGGTCACTTGAGCAAAGCTCAGGTGACCTAAAAAACAAGAGGTCCCAGAGGATCTTGACGCCCACCATTGTACGACCTTTATAAGTTCTTTGTCAGTTTGACCTTTTCTCTTATCTGATTTATCAAGCCATATTAACAGTAAATGCACCTTGTTTTTATGATCAGCCTCAAAATCAAACATGCACAACTACAGACTAAGGGGAACCTACATTTTAAATTTGAGAAAGATCCCTCAAGCTATTCCTGAGAAAAAGCACTAACAAACCTTCAATGTCAAAATCCAAGATAGCCTGCCCCATGGCAAGTCATATTCAAAAACCCTTATCAAAAATCAGAATATATATCTAAATTAAATATATTGAACTTGTATATGAGCTATTAAAAAGGTACATAACCAGGTTAACGAAGTCAAAATACGGCATTAAGGTTGATCGATGTAATGATAAAAGTTGCTCACCAGATTTGTAACATGTTAATCTCTTAAGCAGCCCAACTGAATGTTACGAAATGACATGTTATTTGAAGATCATTTATATACCTAGGTCATGCGGGGCTTTATTTCTATTTAACTATGTGTGGAGAAGCATACTAGGAATTACAGAAGTTTCAACCCCAACCCGTTACGCCCAAGACCATTTCGCCCCTACTTTTTTTCACATCACCCCATTTTTCACCTCATTTCGCCCCAAATATGACAACCATATCGCCCAAAAAAATATTTTCGCCCTAAAATCCGTTTCGCCCTTTAAGCTATATCGCCCCAAAATCGGTTTCACCCCAAAATCTATATCGCCCCATAATTCTTTAACACCTATATTGAACGATATCTGATCTTGTGAAATGCAAGTTAAATATTAATGCTTAGGAACACGTAACCTCAAGACTCAAATTGGTACAATTTTTTAACATTTATATTTGTTTTAATGTTCGTGTAATTTTTTGAGTTGTCAGTTTGCATGTTGATGAAAGAGATCGTCAGTTGATAAGCATATATATTGTTCTTACCCTAAACATATTGAGATATCAGCATGAATGTCAGCTATTTCAAATTTCCCACGATGAAGAACGAAAATGACGAGCTGGTATGAAGTGAGACTCACTGATTCGATCGATTAGATGCTATTTAAGTCCATAGAAGAATGTAACTTGGCAGAAAAAGTTATTTCTTTTTAATTAGCTAATGATTTTTTTTAATTAAATATGCTGAAAAAGAAATATATACATATAGACATATATACATAAACAAATAGTACACCTTCTATTTCTTGCAACACACAAAACATTTTTTGTTTCCAATCTATGGCACGCGTGTATAATTTAACAATAAAATCTAATTATTTCATACATATATATATATATATTATTTAAAAATAAACAAATCCTGCATGACATAGATACTATAGATATGTTACAATATAGATATAATGTTATGGCACAAAAATTGTGTCCCAAACATCAAACGATTTGCAACAGATATTATTTTTTGAATGTCTATCTTTAAGAATATTACATAAAAAGTAGATATTTTACTACAAAATTTGTCAAATAAGTTCATTTTATGGGGTGTTGTAGTTTTTTGGGGCAAAATAGTTGAATCAAATTTGGGGCGTAACAGCTTGCGGCGTAACAGCTTGGGGCGTAACGGTTTGTGGCGTTACGGTTTGCGGCGTAACAGCTTGGGGCGTAACAGCTTGCGGCGTAACAGCTTGGGGCGTAACAGCTTGGGGCGTAACAGCTTGCGGCGTTACGGTTTGCGGCGTAACAGCTTGGGGCGTAACAGCTTGGGGCGTAACAGCTTGGGGCGTAACAGCTTGCGGCGTTACAGCTTGGGGCGTTACAGCTTGGGGCGTAACAGCTTGCGGCGTTACAGCTTGGGGCGTAACAGCTTGGGGCGCTACGGTTTTGGGGCGTAACAGCCTGGGGCGTTACGGTTTTGGGGCAGAACAGCTTGCGGCGTAACAGCTTTGGGCGTAACAGCTTGCGGCGTACCAGCTTGGGGCGTTACGGTTTTGGGGCGAAACAGCTTGGGGCGTAACAGATTGGGGCGTAACAGCTTGCGGGGGTACAGCTTGGGGGGTAACAGCTTGGGGCGTTACAGCTTGGGGCGTAACCGCTTGCGGCGTAACAGCTTGGGGCGGAACAGCTTGGGGCGTAACAGCTTCGGGCGTTACAGTTTTGGGGCGTTACGGTTTTGGGGCAGAACAGCTTGCGGCGTAACAGCTTGCGGCGTACCAGCTTGGGGCGTAACAGCCTGGGGCGTAACAGCTTGCGGCGTACCAGCTTGGGGCGTAACAGCCTGGGGCGTAACAGCTTGCGGCGGAACAGCTTGGGGCGGAACAGCTTGCGGCGTTACGGGTTTGGGGCGTTACGGTTTTGGGGCGTAACCGCTTGGGGCGTTACGGTTTTGGGGCAGAACAGCTTGCGGCGTAACAGCTTTGGGCGTAACAGCTTGGGGCGTGACGGTTTTGGGGCGTTACGGTTTTGGGGCGAAACAGCTTGGGGCGTAACAGATTGGGGCGTAACAGTTTGGGGCGTAACAGCTTGCGGGGGTACAGCTTGGGGGGTAACAGCTTGCGGCGTAACAACTTGGGGCGTAACAGCTTGGGGAGTAACAGCTTGGGGCGTAACAGCTCGCGGCGTAACAGCTTGGAGCGTAACAGCTTGGGGCGTAAAAGCTTGGGGCGTAAAAGCTTGGGGCGTAACAGCTTGTGGCGTAACAGCTTGCGGCGTTCCGGTTTGGGGAGTAACAGCTTGGGGCGTAACAGGTTGGGGCGTAACAGCTTGGGGCTTAACAGCTTGCGGTGTAACAGCTTGGGGCGTAACAGCTCGCGGCGTAACAGCTTGGAGCGTAACAGCTTGCGGCGTTAAGGTTTGGGGCGTAACAGCTTGCGGGGGTACAGCTTGGGGGGTAACAGCTTGCGGCGTAACAGCTTCGGGCGTAACAGCTTGCGGCGTTCCGGTTTGGGGAGTAACAGCTTGGGGCGTAACAGGTTGGGGCGTAACAGCTTGGGGCTTAACAGCTTGCGGTGTAACAGCTTGGGGCGTAACAGTTTGCGGCGTTACAGTTTGGGGCGTAACAGCTTGGGGAGTAACAGCTTGCGGCGTAACAGCTTCGGGCGTAACAGCTTGCGGCGTAACAGCTTGCGGCGTTACGGTTTTGGGACGAATCGTCTGACCCCCCATACTAGCATGACAAGAAGATGAATGTTGCTATATGGGAACGTACAAAAATCATAGAAAAATGTCCGCGAAACATATTTTACCAGTGAATATGTGTAAAACCATAGATCTTTGACAATGAACACTACTTAAACTTCATATAACAGGTCATTTCTTAACATTCAATGTTGTTATAAAAGAGCTTAAAACTTGTTATAAACATTATCTTACTTTTCAGCTTCAATGTTTATCACATGTCTAGCGCATTCATATAATCACAGAATGTTATTAAACGGCACATCATCTAAAGTTCATTTATCGATCAAGTTTACTGAGCCTGTTTTCTTATTCATAATTTGCTAAAATGCATACCAGGGGATTTTATATGATGTTAGGGGTTTCCCCTGGGAACATCTATCTTTAGTTTGAGGTCGGAATTCCTCTCAACAGCAGAGAGTAGTAGAAGAGAAATAAAGCTCTGCATGACCTAGGTATATACATAAACTTTATATTATGGGTCATTTCTCAGCAATCAGTTGGGTCGCAAAAGAGATTGACATGTTATAAGTCTAGTGAGCTATTTTTATGAAGACATCAGCCTTTCACAGAATGACTTATTTTTGACTACGTTAACCTAGCTATGTATTTTTGTATAGCCAATGTACAAGTTCAATATATACAAATAACATATTTAAGTTCCGATTTTTAATTGAGGTCTTTGGACATGACTTATCAGGGGGTTGGAAATAAGGTGACTACAGCATCTTTTGGGGGGCTTGTAACAGGTTGGGCTCAACGGCGCATATGGGTAATAATCCTGCATTTGGGTAACATTTTTGTATGTTATGGTTGAATGCACTTCGAATCTACTTTCACTATCCTATATAAAAAAAAAATCAAAATCAAGCTGTGTAAGTGAACCTAAACAGCTAATTAACACATCATTATCATATCAGTGTGTTCAAACACCTGTGGGGGATGAAGATACTCAAAGCTAGTCCTTAGCATGCAAGTGCTCATATTGCAATAATAACTTTTAACGTGCATGGACTCTTATGATACTTTAGGTAAATATGCTAACTATTCAAACAAACTCTTCTCTTCACCGAGCCGACAGCGTTTTGATGACCGAATCGGTCGAGGAGTTCCGAGTGCTACAATATGTTAATCTTACTAGTAACCGAAGAGGGCTTTCGAAAGTCCGAATGGGAATCATAATCTTAAAAGTGTTTTAACGATCCATTTCACAATGACGCATATACAAAGCGTTTGAAAGATGTGAGATGAATTGAAAACTTCCACGTTTCCCAGCTGTCGTTTCCAGGTAAAAACATAACAATCAGTTAGGTAGGTTGTTAGGTGGTTCAATCATTAGACATATCACACATTCTGCGCTATTCAAATATAACACATTTGATAGCTGAGCTGTGATATCCGTTATGATGTTACTGTTGACATAACGATCTGTCAAAAATATGTGAAATTACTCTGAAAACCTCAGTTTAGGTCCAAACCTTATAGCTGTAATTCTCAGGTGCACGAATGTGTAGCCCCTCTCTTTGTGACCGGAAATGAAGAGCTCGTAACAGTAGAAAGAGAAATGCCGAGGCCCTCCGAACTCTAGACGGACGCTCTATCTATTAATGAGCTACCTGATCGACCCAGTCCAATTCCGCTTCATTCCTCTCTCCTTTCCAAAGTCTTCGCCCAGAAGATACAATTACAACTCGGGTTCAGATTATTTATAACTCGGGTTCAGGTGTATCCCCTTGCTAAGCATTCACCCAGTGTACAGGAGTTCATCACAAATGTCTAACCCACATATGTGCCCGGTAACGGGTTGTTTCGCCCAAAATCCCGTTCGCACTAAGGGTTGTTTTGCCCCAAATCCCGCTCGCCACAGGTTGTTTCGCCCTAAAAAATATAAATCTTTCAGTCACAAATATCATGTTAAAAGTTAATATGAATATCTTTCTCTTGAATCAAGATATAGTTACGTGCCGGAAGATGAAGAACGAACCTAAGATATGGACATATAATTATGGACATATAATGAAACTAAATTAATTTCTCTAAATACAACACTTATAATATATATATATAAGATATGGACATATAATGAAAATAAATTAATTTCTCTAAGTAAATAGATAATAAAAATAATATTTGAGTAGGTTACTTGTCATAAATAGGGCATTTCTCAATACTATGTTATAATTCAACATTACATAATATTGAGAAATGCTCTATTTATGACAAGTAACCTTCAGTAAAGTACTCAAATTATCTACTCAAATATGCATATTAATTTTTATTGGTCGGTACTATCAAAACTTCTCAAAATGATCTCCAATTAGCAAAAAACAACACGGACGTGCGCAGAAATCAAGTAAAGAAAACATCGTCACACGGCGACAATTATGTGTACACTAGACTAAATGTGTTAACATGGAAAAATAATATTGTTGTATACCCCACATTGGCGTACAATGTAATTAAAATTACACCATTTTTGTTTCATTTCACTATTCTTATTCATTTCTAAAATCAAATTCAATATATGTTATAATGTGTGTCGGCGTGAAGAAAATAACGTATTCCGTTATTTGCTTTACAATGTACTTAAAAACAACACAAACACATTTTTTTTAAATAAAACTGATTTCAATGATATGGAAGACGAAGAAGACTTAATTTGTGACTTAAAACAAATAAAAATGAAAAGAAAATACCAAACAACGTTTTGCCCTAAAAATTTGTTTTAGGGCGAAACAACCTAGGGCGAACGGGATTTGGGGCGAAACAACCCGGAAGCTATGTGCCCATTGCTTGAAACAAAGGTTGGCAAGCTCGCCAATTTTGTAACAGGAGAAAGAGAAAAGCAAAGGCCAGACCGGGGTTCAAAACGGGGACCCATCCCAACAATAGATGGATGCTCTGCCTATTGAGCTGCCTGATCGACGATCATTGACCCAGTCCAGTTCCGCTGCATATCTCTATTTTATACTCAACAAAGACCAAATTGGCTTTAATGCAGAGGGGTTGATACATATTCATGTGGTAATTGTTTTGATCAATCAAGATTGTTGTCCTATACGTATGATATAATATCATAAACATTGTTACTTATTAGTATTATTGATCGAAACGAGCACATAGCTGTGGTCAAAAGGACAGGGCCTAAATACTCATTTCTTGACTCTAAAATTTGCTTTGAAATCCTGTTACCTCCACCTACATGGCTGCACATTTAGGTTGTAACCCCTTTTTATTTGAAATATTGCTAAATCATAAGAAATTGCTGGTGAAGGCCTGTTTTCTATTAGATGTTACAGTAACTTATTAGGATTTAATGATGGACAATATTTTTGTTCTCATGACAACCAGGTAAGTGTTTATGTGTGGCATTGTAATGACTAGTACACTACATACTCTAGTCACCTTCATCAGACAAATGACCGGTGAAGCGACAGTGGATCACACATGTATTTTTATATCAAAATTGATTTGGAAATAAGTTTCTGCATCTAAATGTAAACATTTTCCTGTTGCTGCAACTGGTGAGCTTGTAATCATTGATTACATTTGTTGAAAGATTTTAATATCATAACAAAAAGAAGTTGTTGTAGCCCTTGCAGACCATTGTGACTTTGTCATATTGTATTATGATTATATAGCAGTCTCTCATCCATTAATGATTAAATATTGTCTGATAATTCAGTATAACTTATTATTGAACCAATTACCAATTGCAACATTAATACATAAAAATATGGATATAGTTGATGTTATTCCGTCTTTGCGTATTGCAGAGTTATCTTCTCTTGTGAGAAGGTATTGATTGTTACGTCATTGGTATGTGTGAGAAAATTACGTCTTTTTCTCAAAAATTGATGACGTTACTCTCACAAACAAATGACGTAACAATCAATACCTGCTCACAAGAGAAGATAACTCTGCAATATGCAAAGTCGGAATAAGTGATTTTATAAATGAATGGCATAAATTAATTGTTTTGCACCCCTATTCTTTTTCAGCCATCTACATTCCACCAAGATGTCTTGCCCTACAGTTCTGTCAAGCTACCGGCATCTAACCTCTACATTCAAAGGCACAGCTGCAGCCTTCTTATATGGTGTCTGTTCTGTATCCATGGCATTCATAAACAAAACATTAATGACCACATTTGAATTTGATTATCCTGTCTTCATCATGGTCATGCAGATGCTTTTCACAATCGGTGTCTTGGAACTGTTAAGCTATTTAAAACTGATACATTTACCTAGATACACCATAAAGCGGGGTAAGATGTTTCTTCTTCCAGCTTTGTTTTATGGTGTTAATTCGATTTTGGGACTTAATGCACTGGGACACATGAATGTGGCTATGTATGGAGTGCTAAAACGATGTGTACCCTTAGCCACCATGTTTCTGTCCATTCTGATTCTAAAGAAGGGCTTTCCCTCCAGAAACACCATCACAGCCGTGCTGCTCATTACAGGGGGATGTGTGATAGCAAGTAAGTTATAGCACTTTTTTCAATATCTCTGGAACATGTTTGTCCACAGAAAGATCCAGAATTTACCAATATATGTAAATATATGAAGAATGAAGAAACACCATTAAACAGTTCTCAAGTACCTGTAGTATCATCATAAAATCTCACCAATACTGAAATATCTGTTTTTGTAGGTTATGGTGATCTAAAGTTTAACATATACGCCTACACATGTGGAGCCCTGAGTAATCTGACCCACTCCCTGTACCTCCTGCTGGTCCAGAAGGTCACAGAAAAGGACCTGAGCACTGTGGAAACCCTACAACTCAACAGCTTCAACACTCTGCCCTTCCTCACCGTCTACATGGTTGTCAGTGGTGAAGTTAGTGAGGTGACACAGTACAACCAAGCCAAGAGCGTGTCATTTGTTGTGCTGTTTTTTGTGACTATAAGTATAGGATGTTTATTAAACTACTCACTGTTTTTATGTACAAGTTTGACCTCAGCATTAACAACCAGTGTGGTAGGTGGGGTGAAAGCCCTCTTTCAGACATTACTTGGGATGTTTACATTTGGTGGTATCAGTCACAACTTGTCAACTTACATAGGGATCACAATAAACATGTCGGGGAGCATCATGTACTTGTATGCTAAGTTCTTGGAAAGCAAGAAGCGAGCAAGTATGGGTGGGGTACTTCACAAAGTCATCAGTGTGTCGACTGCAGAAGATTTCAAAGATCTGGTTAATGAGAATGGAACCACAAAATATTTAAAAGAAGCATACAGCCTTGAGCGCCTACATCCAATTAAAGAAGAGAACTTGGATCACAATTCCATACCAATAGAATCATCAGATGATAAAGTATCTTTTAACACCGACAGCTGACAACTAATGGTATACCCAAAGTCTATGAGAACGAAATGTTATAGACACACATTCCAAAATTCTCAGTGAAAAAACGTATTAATGAAATTTAATTTAGTTGTTTTAAGAGTATCTTTTCAGTTTTCCTTTATTTTATAAATTGATAGGTGTTTGTCTTGAATTTTATTAGGTCACTTGAGACAAAGCCTCAAGTGACCTATTGCGATTGTCTTTTGTCCGTCGTGCGTCCGTAAACAATTCACATTTTCGACTTCCTGTCCAAAACCCCTGAACCAATTTCAATTAAATTTTGCAGAAACCTTCCATGGCCAAAGGTCAACAAAAGTAGTTGCCGGTTTGGTTCCCGGCCCCCAGGGGCCTGAGGGTCGGGGCCAAAAAGGGTCAAATTGACTAAAATTTAAAAAATCTTCTTCTCAAGACCCAGATATGGTAGAATCAAACACTCTTCATAGATGGAAGGGTCTTAAGGTGCTTTACCAAAATTGTGAATTTCTTGACCCTGGGCAAAATTTATTATTGTTTATAATGGCAAATGATACTTTGAATATTACATGTTAATAACTTGATTGGAATTATAACCCTGAGTTGACAGTTTGATACTTTGAAAATTTTGAACCAGCCTTACCCCCAAGGGCTGTAGGGTGAGGCCCAAAGGAGTCAGTGTGCTAAAATTTCTTCATTTTCCTTGTTTAGAATCAGAGGTGCTAGTTTCAAATACTTTTTAGTCTTAAATCTGTATGCTAGATATTGAATAAGGTGCTTTTATTGTTTTTTGTCACTGAATAATATTTCTGTTCGTGTTAAAAACAAAATCAACTCTCTGTATAAATATATCAGGTGACCGTTAAGGCCCATGGGCCTTTTGTTATTGATAATGGCTGTGCTCATGTTTTGTATATGCTCCAAATATAGGATGTACATGTATGCGTAGCTATCACATGAATGGAAAAATGTCAGTCTCACTGATTTTTGTGACAAGATAGTGATTGTCTTGATTTCCACACAGATGAAAAAATCACTAATCATGTGGTTGCTCAGTCTAACTGGGTTAATTTTCAGACTAAAAAAATCAGTGAAAAATTTAACTCTAGCATGAAGACCTATGGGACATATAATCAACCATGCTTGAAAGCAATGAATAACTGCAAAGACATGAAATGATTGGTATATTTTCTTGTATTTCTTCTTTTAAACAAGTGTTAAACAAGGTGCTACAATCACGATAGCAACAGCTGGTGTGTGATAATAATAATAATCATAATATATGGCATTTAATCTAGCTAGCTTAAGCTACTCTAAAGCGCTTTACAGTACATATATTTACAATTTATACAATCAATACAATTAGCATTTACATTAATCAATACAATTTTGAGGAATTTGCAGGAACTGCCTTATTAGGCGCTCACTACTAGTCCTATGCCACCTGGCTAATATCTCCCTATGTTTGTATGCCTGCGTGTGTGCTGGAGATGTATTGTGCTCTGTTTATAGTAGGACGGTGCTTCCAACGGTATCAGTTAAAGTGCCACCTCACTTGAATGCTACAGCACAGTTACCGCAACATCCATCCCAGACCATTTTATATTCCACCTGGGTTGTTGGAGTTGTGTGGGTAGGAGAAAAACAGATTCTCTGAATACTGTGTATGATGACTGTGGGGATCGAACCCTGACCGCCTGCATAGAAGGCCGGAGTGTTAACCACTCGACCAATCCGCCCAATCCAATCTATTTGGATCAAGGTACTCCTGTTAGTAGGGGTAGTGGTTGGAGACTGGTATTTATCAACTAGACAATTCTGTGCCATGAATCGTGGATATGAGGCCCAGACAGGGCGTGATTAAGAAATTGTTTTCATATGTATTTTTGTTATCAAAATGATTGATACAATGTATCAACTCAATGTTGATTGTAATTTCTGACCCTTTTAAAAGTCTGAAGAAGGAAATGATGATGTTATTGAGGAATATAAGTCAAATCTTTGTTATACCTTGGGTACATACATGTGTTTGAGATGTCTGTCAATTTTTTGCTTCAGTCCAATATTTGGACCGAGTCAGCAATATTTCGATGTATCTGTATTCACATGCCAACATACATATGTATAGCTATGATGATGCGGAAAATTAAATCAAAGGTTATTTATTAATCAACGTCCCCACTAACCGTGTGTGACATTATATTTGATTTTTGCACTGTAACAATGCTGAGTATGTAATCCAATGAGTTGAAACTCATCTTGTGTAAAACAGATATGCTGGTGTTGTGGGACCTGGGGCTTATTTAACCCAAATGTTCAATGAATCTCAGTTTTTATTTTGTTGTGAAACTATGTATTTTTATAATTTCTCAGTACATTAATATATTAAACTTCAAAGTGGGAAGTAATTATCATGATTTAGCATAAGTGGAGTGTGGTATGATTGATTGTGGTAACTGGTATACACTGTGTATTTCCCTGAGTATGATTGATGGTGGTTATTGGTAGACACTGTATTACCCTGAGTATGATTGATGGTGGTTACTGGTAGACACTATGTATTACCCTAAGTATGATTGATGGTGGTAACTGGTATACACTGTGTATTTCTCAGGTCCCAGGGGTTGATTGTAAATAGTTTTTTTTGTACATATTGCATGAAGGATATACAAAGAATAAAGTGATTTAACAGGAGAAGAAAAATACTACAGTGCCAGACTAGGGGGCCTCCAAACGACTTCAGTTATAGGTAAAGTCCACTAAGGTTGAGGCATAAGTTATAGGGAAAGTTGTTTAAGGGTGAGACATCAGTTAGAGGGAAAGACCACTAAGGATGAGGCACCAGTTATAGGTAAAGTCCTCTATGGGCGAGACATCAGTTATAGGTAAAGTCCTCTATGGGCGAGACATCAGTTTTAGGTAAAGTCCTCTAAGGTATCAGTTATAGGTAAAGTCCTCTAAGGATGAAACATCAGTTATAGGGAAAGTCCTCTATGGGCGAGACATCAGTTATAGGGAAAGTCCACTAAGAGTGAGGCATCAGTTATAGGTAAAGTCCTCTAAGGATGAGGCACCAGTTATATGTAAAGTCCACTAAGGTTGAGGCATCAGTTATAGGGAAAGTCCACTAAGGGTGAGACATCAGTTAGAGGGAAAGTCCACTAAGGGTGAGGCATCAGTTATAGGGAAAGTCCACTAAGGTTGAGTCATCAGTTATAGGTAAAGTCCACTAAGGTTGAGGCATCAGTTATAGGGAAAGTCCACTAAGGTTGATGCCTCTGTTATTGGGAAAGACCACTAAGGATGAGGCACCAGTTATAGGTAAAGTCCTCTATGGGTGAGACATCAGTTAAAGGTAAAGTCCTCTATAAGCGAGGCATCAGTTGTAGGTAAAGTCCTCTAAGGTATCAGTTATAGGTAAAGTCCTCTAAGGATGAAACATCAGTTCTAGGTAAAGTCCTCTAAGGATGAGGCACCAGTTATAGGTAAAGTCCTCTAAGGGTGAGGCATCAGTTATAGGGAAAGTCCACTAAGGTTGAGTCATCAGTTATAGGTAAAGTCCACTAAGGTTGAGGCATCAGTTATAGGGAAAGTCCACTAAGGTTGATGCATCTGTTATTGGGAAAGTCCACTAAGGTTAAGGCATCAGTTATAGGGAAAGTCCACTAAGGTTGATGCATCTGGTATAGGGAAAGTCCTCTGTGGGCGAGACATCAGTTATAGGTTAGGTCCTCTATGGGGGAGACATCAGTTATAGGTTAGGTCCCGTAAGGGTAAGGCATCAGTTATAGGTAAAGTCCTCTAAGGATGAGGCACCAGTTATAGGTAAAGTCCTCTATGGGCGAGACATCAGTTAAAGGTAAAGTCCTCTATGGGCAAGACATCAGTTTTAGGTAAAGTCCTCTAAGGTATCAGTTATAGGTAAAGTCCTCTAAGGATGAGACATCCGTTATAGGGAAAGTCCTCTATGGGCGAGACATCAGTAATAGGTTAGGTCCTCTAAGGATGAGGCATCAGTTATAGGTGAAGTCCTCTAAGGATGAAACATCAGTAATGTGGAAAGTCCTCTAAGGGTAAGCCATCGGTTATAGGTTAAGTCCTCTAAGGGTGAGGCATCAGTTATAGGTTAGGTCCTTTAAGGTTGAGGCATCATTTATAGAGAAAGTCCACTAAGGGTGAGGCATCAGTTATAGGTAAAGTCCTCTAAGGTTGAGGCTTCAGTTATAGGGAAAGTCCACTAAGGGTGAGGCATCAGTTATAGGTCAAGTCCACTAAGGTTGAGGCATCAGTTATAGGGAAAGTCCACTGAGGTTGTGGCATCTGTTATTGGGAAAGTCCACTAAAGCTGGGGCATCAGTTATAGGGAAAGTCCACTAAGGTTGAGGCATCTGTTATAGGGAAAGTCCACTAAGGTTGTGGCATCTGTTATAGGGAAAGTCCTCTAAGGGTGAGGCATCATTTATAGAGAAAGTCCACTAAGGTTGAGGCATCAGTTATAGAGAAAGTCCTCTAGGGGTGAGATATTTGTTATAGGTAATTTCTTATTGATCACACAAGTTTGTACATTTTGTAAGTGTGTAAGGTGAATCTAGAATGTTACAAGTGCTGGTCTGCTGATGGTAGTCGGTTACAATGTTCGTTTGGTTAATGTATAAAGTGTTCATTCGCTACACAGATCTCTGTTGCTTGTTAAATATGATTGTATAATATGTTGAGTCCCTTTTTTATGGTTTCAAATAACTTATATACAAGAAAGATGTCTATAAAAAAAATCAAAGGATAGGATAATATTTTCCTGCAGCTAGTGAAATACAAGTAATGTATGTTTTTTCCTTTCACCACATATCCAGGAAATAATTCAGCTATACTGAATAATGTTGCAGTTATGTTTTTCTACCTCTTACATTTCATTATTTTTACATTTTTATCAAGAACCAATCAGAAGGGTTCTATGTACGTATGTCTCTTTGGCTCGGGACAGGCATGGATTGTTCGGGCACTTTGGCTCGAGACAGGCATTGATTGTTCTGGCACTTTGGCTTGGGACAGACATGGATTGTTCTGGCACTTTGGCTAGGGACAGGCATGTATTGTTCTGGCACTTTGGCTAGGGACAGGCATGGATTGTTCTGGCACTTTGGCTCGGGACAGACATGGATTGTTCTGGCACTTTGGCTCGGGACAGACATGGATTGTTCTGGCACTTTGGCTAGGGACAGGCATGGATTGTTCTGGCACTTTGGCTCGAGACAGGCATGGATTGTTCTGGCACTTTGGCTTGGGACAGGCATGGATCGTGCTGGCACTTTGGCTCGAGACAGGCATGGATTGTTCTGGCACGTTGGCTCGGGACAGACATGGATTGTTCTGGCACTTTGGCTCGGGGCAGGCATGGATTGTGCTGGCACTTTGGATCGAGACAGGCATGGATTGTTCCGGCACTTTGGCTTGGGACAGGCATGGATTGTTCCGTATATGTGGGAATCCTGTGTTAAGAACAAATATGCATTGTAAATTATAAACATATGTTGATATGCAGTTATTTGATGCTCTATAGAAATGAGACGCATATCCCTAAAATTATTTTGATATCAATTTTATTATACATATAACTTATGTACATATGTAGTAATTGTCATGTTATTTATTAAAGATTTAACAGTTTACTTATATCAAGTCCCTCTAATATCATCAATAAGATTCATCAGTTTGGAAACTGGAAATATCAAAGTTTTACCTTATACACAATCAAAATTGTATATAAAGTAAAATTTTGATATTTCGAGCCCCTTGAATCCCAAATGGCAGGGCACAATGCATTACAATGGAAGGATGCAGAGCAATGTATATCTGCAGCAAAAGTTGACATTGGTACAATATTTTTTTTTATATATGCTTGTTCAGAGAATGATTAATGTAACTATAAATCTTTAAAAACAACTGTTTTACGTAGCTCCTATGAATAGACAGATGTACCTGAGAGGGGGTTCATACGCCTGCCAGAATTATTCCTTATGGACTTTCCAGTGTTTTATGAAAGAGTACCTCAAATTTCTTCTCCAAAAGTATATTGAAAATATTATAACCAGGTTTCACATATGAATCATTCTTATATCAAGGTGTTTCAGGTTTCCTCCGTGTGGGGGCTGGCTTCCTTGGAGGCTGGGGTTGGGGACCCATTAGGGTATCAGAAACAATATTTTAGAATCTTCTAAACTTGGAAATCCTTTTTGCATGTTGGTCTAGGGACAGATAATACTATTTCATTATATAGAATACAGGAAATGCTTCTTCATATTGTTGGCACTCGTCCGATTTAAAACAGAATTTGCAAAAGCATCCTTGTGACAATGAGATCTCTGCCAAAGCAATCTCAACTCAATCTTGAAAATCTACCTGCCATGTAATCTTTTCTAAAGAGTCACTTTCACCAAGCTGATCGCCAAGGTCTAGGAAACTTGTGTTTTTGAAATTATGATATGTTTGAAAGCCTATTTACATTTGTTACTGTGTGTTCCTAATGAAATCCGTACTGTTGTTCATTGTGTTAGACATGAACCATTTTTTACTCTTGTTGTTCTTAATAAATAATTTGTACACAAATTGAAGCTGGTCTCATGTCCCTTTACTTCAAACCTCCTGAAGTTTGTTATGTGATATGGTTAGGTCTGCTGTTAGACTTTATATATTACTGATAAGGGGCCCTGAAGTTTGTGATATGGTTAGGCCTGCTGTTAGACTTTATATATTACTGATAAGGGGCCCTGAAGTTTGTGATGTGATATGGTTAGACCTGCTGTTATACTTTATATATTACTGATAAGGGGCCATGTTTCTCGTACAGATATATACTGGTTGGGTAATATTTTGTAGTCACACAATATATATTGAATATAATGCATAATGATGGTTTTGTTGATTTCTGCTGATGTAGTAGATATATTGTTAACAAGGTAAGTGGGTCATCACTATGTCCCAGTTCTTACTAGTGTAGGGGGGATATGTTAAAATGGCCATCAGATGTTCCCTGATAACTGATAAGGCATATATCTAAACTTTATTTTCCTGTTAAATTTATTAATGACATAATTTTTAGGAGAATGTTCATTGAAATCTTTTTGTAACGTAACTGACAAGGTACTTATGTTTTTAGAATTGTTTTATTTTAGTTCTCAAATTTCTCTTAAATTATTCATAGGCCATATCTAGATATAGAGAATAAATAATATTTGTTGTTTGATGGAAAATTGTGTGAAGTATCCGATGGATTGAGTAGAGTGCCAAGAGGAGAGAGCTAAGAGCCTCAGATTAGAGGGGTTATTTATGTGCCCAGTTAACTGAGCCAAAGCTTAAGGGGGTGGGGGTTCAGGTGCCAAGTGGGATATGGTAAGTCGAGTCTGAGGTAAACATTCCATTGTGAATACATTCCATTATAGAAGTAAAGTCATAACCATACAACCGTTTTAAGTTGGTTGGTTTTGCTTATTAAACATTTTTGTTGCTTTTGAAATACAACAATATGCATATGATTTGACACAAACGTACGGCAGCATTGTTATATATTTTTTGTTATCAATGTATTCTGTAATGCTGTAATTTCAACTGACACCACTTGCAACTGTTTGTGGCTTGACACCACTATAACCGGTTTTATCAGTCAATACCACTTAAAATCTGTTTTGTCAATTAACATTTATTGAAATTCTTGTCAATGGAACGCGACCTTTAATTTTATTGTCAGTTGACATTAATTTCAATTATACTTCACTTACCAACGTTTAAAAAGCTGTTTGTTTACATTAATTGACACTGATTTAGTTATTTTGTCAATTGACACTATTCAAAAAGCTGTAATCTCAATTCACAACATTTCAAAATTTTTGTCAGTTGATGCCACTTCAATATTGTGTTATTTTTATCTTTTGTGGGAATAATCTGTGATCTTATGATTGGGGTTTTGAAGTAAAGGTATGATTGTATTTATCTGAAATAAATATTACTTAAAACTAATTTGTTGAAACAATTTTGATACTTTTTTTTTCTGACATCCTTTTGTGTTATTGAAGCATTTAGCCTAAACATGAACCAATCTGATTTCACATACACATGACTCATAACACTAGACCAGATTTCAATAGACCAGGTGTTAGTATGACATACCTGGCGAATTGGTGAGCCACAAGTCTTCTCACAAGTACACAACATTTTAATGATGCCAACATGTTGATCACAATATCCATTTGATTTTTGTCCTGTTATTTCTTATTCAAAATCATTCAAAAATGGTTTTGTATACTGTAATGGATTTTTCTCAAATCTTTCAATGTGTCTCCGGGTAGACTTTTTTACTGACTTGGGTGACATATTTAATTACTCATGCTGTGAGATTTTTTGATTGATTGCTTCAGAGAAAAGTCCAATTAACCAAAATATAGTTTATAAACACAACAAACTAAATCTTGAAATGTAATAAAAAAAATAAAAAAAAATAAAAAAAATCAATTGGTAGGTCATGTAGTGTGCACATTTTAATTGTAAACAAGTTCATGTGGCACAACCAGTGAACTGCTAAGGTGTGACGTTTCGCTTACTAGTTTACTAGTGCAGTATGTACTCTGTCACCTTTGTCAGGCAAATGACCGTTAAAGCATATGTACACTAAGGTTTCAGATACGTACAAGTTGAAAATAAAATCGGCTACATAAGAAAAGTGGAAGAAAGCTGAAAGTTTCCTGGACTGGAATCTGAAAGGTGGAGGGGTACAGGTTGGACTTCCGTTTTGATGTCTACTTGTAGTGTTATACCGAACCCATCGTATCTGTGGACCAGGGTTCTAAAGGACAAGGCAGCGTGTTTACTTTGTAGCCGACCCGTCAAGGGGCCGCGGTGGTTAAGACTTCTTACATTCTGCCACCAATCTAATGTAGGAACGGAATTAGAATCTGATTTTAGTTAGATTGATTCTCAGGCGCGTAGCTGGGTTGTTTCCATTGTGCATGCAGAAAGTCGCACCAAAGTTGCGAAGGCGCGAAGTCATTCTAGGGGGGNTAACTATTTGAGTGATTTAATTTATTTTACAGACACCATTTTTCTGGTTGATTCATTCACTTTATTATTTGAAAGCATCGCAAAAATTCAAATGTATTTCAAATGCGAAAGACGGCTCTCCTTTTTTTTCTCCGACAAAAATGTGTCGATTGTCGGAATTCCCCGAAAATATCCGTTGCGTCATATCTCTTTCCTGATGAATCTAAATTAACTAGATATTTGAAATGTCTGAGCCAATATGAACAGATTAATTTATTCAGATTATTTGCTGTTGTGTTCCCCAAACCCTTTTTATATTATCAACATTTCTCAGAATATAAGATGACGGTAGCTCCTATATCGATGTTTAGATGTATACATGTATCCTTATTTCAAAGTATCCTTAAATTAATTAATCATTATTGTAGTAACTACATTGTATATATGATCAAATTTTGAGCCACTCATGGAAAGAATTTATATAGGCTTGCCTGTTATTCAATTCATTTGACTATAACATCTATCAATAAAATTTGTTGAAATGGAAATGAAAAATACATGTAAGCTTATATCCAGTAGTCCTACTGAAGATCGGCCTAGGACTACTCTTAAAAATATACTTTATCAGTTCATGACAGGGACAAATGAATGTATCTATGTTGTAAAATGCTCAATAGGCCTATATAATGTCACAGATTAGCAAAAGCTACGTGGCTTTTTTCTGACTTTTGAGGCTTTGCCTTTTTCATATTACATTTGCAGGCGAAGTGAATGTAAAACTCAGATGGATCCTAATAGGCTATACGCGCATAATTATTATATCTGCCCTAAAACCTATAACAACAATGCTAGCAACAAATCAGTCTACAATTGTTATTCGGATTACCTCTAATCGGTGAAAAAAAATAACACAAAAATACACCCTTTCCGGAAAAACAACCCGCCTCCGTTGACTTAGTTGTATTTCATTACAATCGCTTTGTGCTAAGTTGCTAACCAAATCTTATCTTGTAGGTCTATTGAATTTGAACTCTTTTTGACAGGATATCGGTATCCACCTTCACTTTAGAAAGACGAATATCGGCCTCGCTTGTATTCCCGATATCAGGGGTAACACATGAGTCAGACTGATTAGAACTTCGTACTAATATTGATACCCTGCCTCCTCTACCCCTGACGACGCAATATATAAAAAAAAAACTCGTTGTCAGAAAGCTACTTTATCGCAGCTAATCATAACTGTGTTCGGTCGGTCCGGCATTACTAATACTAATAGCCGTTTGAGACTCGTCGATGCTTAAGTTAATGTCGCAAGAGGATGTTGTTTCATGTGTGCCTACAGCTGCTTGCGAAGTTGATGCGTTTTTAGCTCACCTGGCACGAAGTGCTAAGTGAGCCTATGCCGTGGCGCGGCGTCCGTCGTCCGACCGTCCGGCGTCCGGCGTCAATATTTTACTTTAAACGACTTCATCTTAATAACCAAAAGGCCTAGGGTGTTGATATTTGGCCAGAAGCAAACTGGGATGAAGGGCTACAAAGTTTGTTAAAATTAATGACCTTCACCTATTTTCAAGGTCACAGGGGTCAAATATGTTAAAACATCTTCTTCTCAATAACCAAACTGCCCGGGGAGATGCTATTTGGTCAGTAGCATGCTTGGGTGAAGGACTACCAAGTTTGTTCAAATGAATGACCTTCAATTATATTCAAGGTCACTGGGGTCAATTGTCTTAAAAAAAACTTTAAACAACTTCTTCTGAATAACCAAAATGCCAAGGGTGATGATATTTGGCCAGTAGCATGCTGAGATGAAGGGCTACAAAGTTTGTTAAAATTAATGGCCTTCACCTATTTTCAAGGTCACAGGGGTCAAATATGTTAAAACATCTTCTTCTCAATAACCAAACTGCCCGGGGAGATGCTATTTGGTCAGTAGCATGCTTGGGTGAAGGACTACAAAGTTTGTTCAAATGAATGACCTTCACCTATATTCAAGGTGACAGGGTTCAAATATGTTAAAATCTTAACAACTTCTTCTGAATAACCAAAATGCCCAGGGTGATGATATTTGGCCAGGAGCATGCTGAGATGAAGGGCTACAAAGTTTGTTCAAATGAATGACCTTCACCTATATTCAAGGTCACAGGGGTCAAATATGTTAAAATCTTAACAACTTCTTCTGAATAACCAAAATGCCCAGGGTTATGATATTTAGTCAGTAGCATATATACTAGGATCAAGGGCTACCAAGTTTGTTTAAATGTATGACCTTGAATCATATTCATACTGATATTTTGTTTTTGCCTGTAGCTTTATTTTAGATCACTTTGAAGGTTTCAAGTGTGAGATTTATAACAGGTGAGCGATGCAGGCCCATTGGGCCTCTTGTTTTCGTTGGCTTTGCAGCCCCGTCTCCGATGTTGGCAACTTTAAAAAATCGGCACCAGGTACCCTAGGTTCCAGGATAAGGTCCTTAAGAAGATTACAGAGATTCTAATCAATGCTAGGTGGAAGAAAAAGACAATCACTTTAAAAAAACACATCACAGATTGTCAGCTGTGTTTAGGCAAGACAAGCATGGAGGGAGGAAGGATACTGGTAACAACAGGAGACTGGGAGTTGTAAACGCTCCAATTTGAAGTAGATTGGAAAAACACAATGACCATCAGGCACAGCATGCACATTTTGTTACTGCTATTTCTAAAACTAATAAATGAATCTTAATGAAGCTTGGAACAAATACATATGATTCCCTACAATCCACAGATATGCATGCTTCAATTAGAGATAGATCAGAGAAAACAAAACTGGTTGTAAGGCGATTATTTTGAAATGTCTCCTGAACAACGAAATGCCTACGTTCATGACATGTCTTGGTGTATATTTTTTCTTTCTAGTCCCTAGTTGTGCATGCTTCAAATTCAGCTGATACCGAAGAACAGAATGACTATTAGGCCGTTTTGGATTATGTATGAATGTTGCATGGGAAATCAGAAGAACAAAATGGCTATCAGGCCGTTTTGGATTATGTTTGAATGTTGCATGTGAAATCAGAAGAACAAAATGACTATCAGGCCGTTTTGGATTATGTATGAATATTGCATGGGGAATATATGTAACCGCTATTTCTTGGAATGAATCCTGATACAATTTGCCTTTGTCCCTTGTGGCGTATACTCCGATTTACGTTGGATCTACATCTCAAGTTTGTTACCGCTATTTATCAGCAACCACTGAAGAGACCACGACGAAACATGGTCTACACGATCCCTTATTATATGGTTGAATGTGTTTCGAATTCAGAGGAGTAAGGAAAACACATTTGCCGCAAGCTATGTTGAATGTTATATATATATATTGAATGTCTGTAGCCGACGTTTTTTCTGAAAGGATCATTACGAAACTATCAGAAACTATTGCATCGAACATGTACAATGTACCTCAAACAGTCAAAGATCACTTTGGTACATGAACAGGTGCTTGTTGATAAAAAAAAAAACAGGTAAATAAAGGGAAAATACCCTAAATTTTGTCAACATTTTATGACCTTTCAATGGTAGCCGCCATGATGCCTCCGATATCTCTATTTTTCTTATTAACTTTTTCCATGTATTCTCTCTTATTTTTTTTGCTATTTTCAGTTGCATTAGAATGTTAAAATACTACAATAATGTTATATCCATTTTAATACAGGTATGATTAATATTATTTGCTAAGCGTGGCAGACATTCGTACCTATATTTCTTTTGATACTTTGAAAACCTCTGTCATCACAGTGGTTATATATACACTGTTATTACAGTGGCTATAGGGATACTGTTATTACAATGGCTGTATGGACACTGTTATAACAATGGTTGTATGAACACTGATATAACAATTGCTGTATTGACACTGTTATTACAGTGGCTCTATGGACACTGTTATCACAGTGGCTGTATGGACACTGTTATTACAATAGTTGTAGGGACACTGTTATCACAGTGGCTGTATGGACACTGTTATTACAATAGTTGTAGGGACACTGTTATCACAGTGGCTGTATGGACACTGTTATTACAATGGCTCAATGAACACTGTTATTACAATGGCTGTATGGACACTGTTATTACAATGGCTCAATGGACACTGTTATTACAATGGCTGTATGGACACTATTAGTATAATGGCTCTATGGACACTTTTATAACAATGGCTGTATGGACACTGTCATTACAATGGCTGTAAGGACACTGTTATTGCAATGGCTGTATGGACACTGTTATTACAATGGCTGTAAGGACACTGTTATTACAATGGCTGTATGGACACTATTAGTACAATGGCTCAATGGACACTGTTATTACTATGGCTGTATGGACACTATTAGTACAATGGCTCTATGGACACTTTTATAACAGTGGCTGTATGGACACTCTTATTACAATGGCTGTATGGACACTGTCATGACAATGGCTTTATGGACACTGTTATTTCAATGGCTGTATGGACACTCTTATTACAATGGCTCTATGGACACTGTTATAACAGTGGCTGTATGGACACTCTTATTACAATGGCTGTATGGACACTGTTATAACAAAGGCTGTAAGGACACTGTTATTACAATGGTTGTATGGACACTATTATTACAATGGCTCTATGGACACTGTTATTACAGTGGCTGTATGTACACTGTTATTACAGTGTCTATAGGGACACTGTTATAACAATGGCTGTATGGACACTGTTATTACAATGGCTGTATGGACACTGTTATTACAGTGGCTGTATGGACACTGTTATTACAGTGTCTATAGGGACACTGTTATTACAATGGCTGTATGGACACTGTTATTACAATGGTTGTATGAACACTGATATTACAATGGCTGTATGGACACTGTTATTACAGTGGCTGTATGGACACTGTCATAACAATGGCTGTATGGACACTGTTATTACAATGGCTGTATGTACATTGTTATTTAAATGGCTGTATAGACACTCTTATTGCAATGGCTGTATGGACACTGTTATTACAATGGCTGTATGGACATTGCTATTTAAATGGCTGTATGGACACTCTTATTACAATGGCTCTATGGACACTGTCATTACAGTGGCTGTATGGACACTCTTATTGCAATGGTTGTATGGACACTGTTATTACAGTGGCTGTATGGACACTGTTATTACAATGGATGTATGGACACTTTTATTACAGTGTCTGTATGGACACTGTTATTACGATGGCTCTATGGACACTGTCATTACAGTGGCTGTATGGACACTCTTATTGCAATGGTTGTATGGACACTGTTATTACAGTGGCTGTATGGACACTGTTATTACAATGGATGTATGAACACTTTTATTACAGTGTCTGTATGGACACTGTTATTACGATGGCTGTATGGACAGTGTCATTACAGTGGCTGTATGGACACTCTTATTGCAATGGTTGTATGGACACTGTTATTACAGTGTCTGTATGGACACTGTTATTACGATGGCTCTATGGACACTGTCATTACAGTGGCTGTATGGACACTCTTATTGCAATGGTTGTATGGACACTGTTATTACAGTGGCTGTATGGACACTGTTATTACAATGGATGTATGAACACTTTTATTACAGTGTCTGTATGGACACTGTTATTACGATGGCTGTATGGACAGTGTCATTACAGTGGCTGTATGGACACTCTTATTGCAATGGTTGTATGGACACTGTTATTACAGTGTCTGTATGGACACTGTTATTACGATGGCTCTATGGACACTGTCATTACAGTGGCTGTATGGACACTCTTATTGCAATGGTTGTATGGACACTGTTATTACAGTGTCTGTATGGACACTGTTATTACGATGGCTCTATGGACACTGTCATTACAGTGGCTGTATGGACACTCTTATTGCAATGGTTGTATGGACACTGTTATTACAGTGTCTGTATGGACACTGTTATTACGATGGCTCTATGGACACTGTCATTACAGTGGCTGTATGGACACTCTTATTGCAATGGTTGTATGGACACTGTTATTACAGTGGCTGTATGGACACTGTTATTACAATGGATGTATGAACACTTTTATTACAGTGTCTGTATGGACACTGTTATTACGATGGCTGTATGGACAGTGTTATAACAGTGGCTGTATGGACACTGTTATTACAATGGCTGTATAGACACTGTTATAACAATGGATGTAGGGACACTGTTATCACAGTGGCTGTATGGGCACTATTATTGCAATGGCTGTATGGACACTGTCATTACAATAGCTGTACGGACACGGTCATTACAGTGGCTGTATGGACACTGTTATCACAGTGGCTGTATGGGCACTGTTATTACAATAGATGTATGGACACTGTTATTACAATAGATGTGCGGACACTGTTATTACAATAGATGTATGGACACCGTCATTACAATAGATGTATGGGCACTGTTATCACAGTGGCTGTATGGACACTGTCATTACAATAGCTGTATGAACACTGTTATCACAGTGGCTTTATGGACACTGTTATAACAATAGATGTAGGGACACTATTATCACAGTGGCTGTATGGACACTGTTATTTCAATAGATGTAGGGACACTGTTATTACAGTGGCTGTATGGACACTGTTATTTACACTGGCTGTATGGACACTGTTATTACAATCGATGTATGGACACTGTTATTACAATAGCTGTACGAACACTGTTATTACAGTGGCTGTATGGACACAATTAGTATAGTGGCTGTATGGACACTGTTATTACAATGGCTATATGGACACTGTTATAACAGTGGCTGTATGGACACTGTCATTACAATGGCTGTATGGACACTGTCATTACAGTGACTGTATGGAGTCTGTTATTACAATGGCTGTTTGGACACTGTTATTACAATGGTTGTATGAACACTGATATTACAATGGCTGTATGGACACTGTTATTACAGTGGCTGTATGGACACTGTTATTACAATGGCTGTATATACACTGTTATTTAAATGGCTGTATAGACACTCTTATTGCAATGGCTGTATGGACACTGTTATCACAGTGGCTGTATGGACACTGTTATTTAAATGGCTGTATGGACACTCTTATTGCAATGGCTGTATGGACACTGTCATTACAGTGGCTGTATGGACACTCTTATTGCAATGGTTGTATGGACACTGTTATTACAGTGGCTGTACGGCCACTGTGATAACAATGGCTCTATGGACACTGTTATTACAGTGGCTGTATGAACACTGTTATTACAATGGATGTATGAACACTTTTATTACAGTGTCTGTATGGACACTGTTATTACGACGGCTGTATGGACAGTGTTATAACAGTGGCTGTATGGACACTGTTATTACAATGGCTGTATAGACACTGTTATAACAATGGATGTAGGGACACTGTTATCACAGTGGCTGTATGGGCACTGTTATTACAATGGCTGTATGGACACTATTATTGCAATGGCTGTATGGACACTGTCATTACAATAGCTGTACGGACACGGTCATTACAGTGGCTGTATGGACACTGTTATCACAGTGGCTGTATTGGCACTGTTATTACAATAGATGTATGGACACTGTTATTACAATAGATGTGCGGACACTGTTATTACAATATATGTATGGACACTGTCATTACAATAGATGTATGGACACTGTTATCACAGTGTCTGTATGGACACTGTCATTACAATAGCTGTATGGACACTGTTATCACAGTGGCTTTATGGACACGGTTATTACAATAGATGTAGGGACACTGTTATCACAGTGGCTGTATGGACACTGTTATTACAATAGATGTAGGGACACTGTTATTACAGTGGCTGTATGGACACTATTAGTACAGTGGCTGTATGGACACTGTTATGGCAATGGCTGTATGGACACTGTTATTACAGTGGCTCTATGGACACTGTTATCACAGTGGCTGTATGGACACTGTCATTACAATAGCTGTATGGACACTGTTATTACAATAGCTGTACGGACACTGTTATTACAGTGGCTGTATGGACACAATTAGTACAGTGGCTGTATGGACACTGTTATGGCAATGGCTGTATGGACACTGTTATTAGAGTGGCTCTATGAACACGGCCATTACAGTGACTGTATGGAGTCTGTTATTACAATAGCTGTATGGACACTGATATTACAATAGCTGTATGGACACTGTTATTTCAATAGCTGTATGGACACTGTTATCACAGTGGCTGTATGGACACTGTCATTACAATAGCTGTAGGGACACTATTATCACAGTGGCTGTATGGACACTGTTATTACAATAGTTGTAGGGACACTGTTATCACAGTGGCTGTATGGACACTGTTATTACAATAGATGTAGGGACACTTTTATCACAGTGGCTGTACGGACACTGTTATTACAATAGATGTATGGACACTGTTATTACAATAGCTGTACGGACACTGTTATTACAGTGGCTGTATGGACACAATTAGTACAGTGGCTGTATGGACACTGTTATGGCAATGGCTGTACGGACACTGTTATTACAATAGCTGTATGGACACTGTTATTACAATGGCTGTATGGTCACTGTTATTACAATAGCTGTATGGACACTGTTATTACAATGGCTGTATGGACACTGTTATTACAGTGGCTGTGTGGACACTGTTATGGCAATGGCTGTATGGACACTGTTCTTACAGTGCCTCCATGGACACTGTTATTACAATGGCGGTATGGACACTGTTATCACAGTGGCTGTAGAGACACTGTTTTAGAATAGAGAATAGCTCTCCTTCAGCATGGTCTTATTCTACATTGGGATTCAGGTAGGAACCAAGATAAAGGCAAACTACGGAAACTTTTCAAGCAGGGTCGAAAAAATTCAAGAAACTCCTACATTGATTAGAACATGAAATTATAGATACGGGTGGATTCTGTTAACAGTTTATATGTTGCGCAGTAGTACATATATTGGTTGTGGGTTACGGTTCTCTATGTGCATACTACGGTTGTAATCCTCTTAATACAACGCCTTCTGATAGGTTCATTTCTCAGACAGAGTTTGTATTTCAGTGAAAAGGCGGCGGGTACTATCATATTAGCGAAGTGAGGGAGTATCGCGTCCTCGTACCACCAGGTAAGTGTTGATAGGCTTAAAGCAATCTCTCGTGAGCAAGGTTCGGTGTATTACATCATATAGTATATAACATTGTCTCGAATGATGCCAATACCTGATGTGTGGAGTAATATCAAAATCTTCATAATTACATATGAGGTGATGTTATTTCTAACGTAACATATAACATGTCATGTTATCTCGAACGGTATATGGACGTGAAGTTATCTCGAACGGTATATGGACGTGAAGTTATCTCGAACGGTATATGGACGTGAAGTTATCTCGAACAATATATGAGGTGAAGTTATCTCGAACGGTATATGACGTGAAGTTATCTCGAACGATATATGAGGTGAAGTTATCTCGAATGGTATATGACGTGAAGTTATCTCGAACGGTATATGGACGTGAAGTTATCTCGAACGGTATATGGACGTGAAGTTATCTCGAACGATATATGGACGTGAAGTTATCTCGAACGATATATGACGTGAAGTTATCTCGAATGGTGTATGACGTGAAGTTTTCTCTTACCCTGGACAGGTGTATCCGCACTTTTACCGGTGTAAGATTAATAGAATCTTTCACCCCCTTGGGGATGAGACAGGGGTAATATTCTTAAGTTGTCCAACACGAGGCTTCCCGAGTGTTTGACAGCTTAAGAATCTTACCCCGAGGGTTGAGATCACCCTGTCTCACTCCCACGGGGGTGAATGATTATTTTTCTCTTACCCTGTTTACCCTGGTATTTTATATAGACGTTACATCAATGCAAGACAATGTTGATGTGATGCGGCTAAATTGTCGACGTGACGTCATTGTATTGTTGCCGTGACGTCATGTTATTGTTGCTATGACGTCATACAATTATTGAGAACGTGCAAAGAACACGTGTAGCTTGTCTCAACCCTGGGGTGAGATAAGAAAATCTCACACCGGTAAAATGGAGGATATCCCTGTCCAGGGTAAGAGAATTCCTTTTCTTGCGTACCAGACCGAGATATCCGCATTTCCGGCCGTGCTGGAAAATGCTATCCGACCCACGGGTCTAGATCGCTTACACGCGCAGACTGGCGGGGGAATTACAGTGACCTTTCAGGGTCACGCTATTGTTCGTGACGTCATTTTATGACGTTTCGGGGTCTGTCAGGGTCATTGACGTCACAAGCAATTGCCATCCGGGCTCTATATGCAAATGAGAAATGTGCGCACAGTTTACAACTTTACTAGAAAAGCAGCTGTTTTTACGGGTTTTAGGTGATAAGCAAGAAATAGAATCCATCCCTGATGTGAGGTAAGGATAAGGGTATTCAAACCCGAGGGATAAAATATTGAGCAGGAGACCCGAGGCTTTGCCGAGGGTATTTTGCTCAATATTTTATCCCGAGGGTTTGAATAACCTTACCCTTACCTCACATCAGGGATGGATTCTATTAGTCTCACCCTAGGGCAGAGACGGAGGAATTCCCCTATTCATAACAATGGTATGACGTCACGTCAACAATACGATGACGTTTCGTCAACAATCCATCAACGTCACGTCAACCCTGAATTTAGCATGTGACGTTTTCATTACATAATATATATGACAATAGGAGAACAGGGTAAGAGAAAAAGAATCATTCATCCCCTTGTGGGTTAGATAGTTGAATCTCAACCCTCGGAAAAGATTCTTAAGTCGCCAAACACTCGGCAGAGCCTCGTGTTTGGTAACTAAAGAATTTTCCCCCGAGGGTTAAGATTCCCCTATCTCACCCACAAGGGGGTGAGAGATTCTATTAATCTCGAATGGTATGTGACGTGAAGTTATCTCGAATGGTATATGACGTGAACTTATCTCGAATGGTATATGACGTGAACTTATCTCGAATGGTTTATGACGTGAACTTATCTCGAATGGTTTTATGGTATGTTTGATCAAACATTAAAACCACCCGACGGCCTCCAAGTATTCTTTCTGTCAATATACTGGACTTGTATCGGCTTATTACCTATATGACTTGTTGTGAGTTATATCAAACGGTTAGATGCATGGTGTGTAGCGATTCATGACGTGTGATGTTTTATACCTGAAGACACACTTAATTATTGGCATAATTACTAGCGGGGGGATAGATCGAAACGCTGCGTTTTTTGTTGTACTATGCACCTCGTCTTATACAAATAGAATGTGTTAGGACTATTCCAGGTTTATAGTTAATCTAATTAGTTTCCACTCTTAAAATTGTTTTACAAGCGTATATCCTTTTTGGTTCGGCAAAAGCCAAGGTTGTTGTATGAAAGCGATTTTGACTGTAATACCGAGTGTCTTAGTCAGACAAACAGGAGGTCCTCTGATATAGAGTGTACATATCTTGAGTATTCAACTAAGTAAATATGGAATGATCAGAGTTAGCCCACACTGTAAACAATCTTAGTCAAATATTTTACTTTGTTCTCAGACCGGTGTACGCGTTTGACTAATCTGTATCATTACTGGTAAACATGACGAATTCTCACGTTTTAATCGATATGGTGAAGTAAAAACACGTCAAATATTACTGGATAAACATGAATTTACCTACAGCAAAATAATTTCATAAAACTTAGAAAGGAGACGACCATAACACGTGATAAACCAGGTGTTTGCCTTACATCACAACACAACGAAATGCAAACATTTTTATTGTATAACAACACATTTTATATGGACTGTGGCACATTGCTAGTCACGTAAGCAGCTATTTAATACGTTCAACACACTGTTGTTTAGCCTTCGATCCCTTGTCATGACATTACTTTTGACAGTAGTAAAAGAGAGGAAAATTGCCATTCAGAAGCTAAAAACCAAAACAAAATAAACCAGATTTAACTAGAAGAAATGGTTTCAAGAATACCCCCGCCCTCACATATCTATTCCATAAATAAATAATGTTTGGTACTTGAGGTCAAGGTCAGATAGTTACACGTTGACTTCAATGACATCGTTTCATTTCGTGACACTATGACCGTCTGACAATGGTCATTCATAAATGGTAGCAAATATGTCCTCCGGAAACCAACGCCTATTCCGTATTTGAAGCTAGATGCTATATTGTGGTTACAGGAACCAATTTTATTATGCGACATAAACTGTAACCTAACTTCAGCGTTTCCTCTGAAGTCCATCCATAAAAAACGGTAACCAATGTAAGCATCGGAAAAAAACTGTTGTACAATTTTATTGATCTTGGGGTCAAGGTCAGAGGACAAAACGTTCCATGTGACCTCATTTTAGGATATGACACACCGCCTACCCGTGATTTACCCTGCAACTGGCTGGATATGTTCAGGAAACCATAGTTTTTATACTTGAGGTTAGTATCAAAGGTCAAAAGGAGTCCTAGTGACTTCCTGTTTGGTGTGCGACTCTTCGCCTCAATATGATATACCATTATACAAAGGTCGGGGTCCATTCACGAAGAATGGCTGATATATGCTCCAGAAACCCGTATTTCACTGTATTTTAATAATTGAGGTCGAGGTCCAGCGGTCAAATAAAGATCACGATGGGAATGTCGGGTATATTTAGGGAATAGGTCTATTGATGTGATTGGTTAAAAACGTAATAAATAGGAATCCGTAATAGTTTAGGGGTTTGCTTTGAAGGGTTAGGGTTAACACTGTATCTGACATACTAATAGTAGGTCTAGATTTCTTTTCTGTCTGAAATCCTACTGATATGTGGTGTTAATTCATTGTGTGCTTGATGAATTGCCAACTCCATGTAGTCGGGATGGAAGGGGAGAGGGGTTGCTTACGTGTTCCGATAAACCTTCGAGCCATTTTGCCGGATGAGTACAACAATGCCTGATTGGTAAAGGAGTAGGGATTAGACGAAGAGCAATCCAACCATCCCTTTTTAACCATTTTTTTTAAATGTGCCATTACAACATATGAGAAGTGTAAAATGGTACATTGGTAACTAGCGCCATAATGTAGCTCCTAACGGCGAGACGATTTTAATATATTGCGTCATCAGCAGGAGGATTTCGGGTATTGCTATTAGTAACTCATCTTATTGTGAAAGTTGGGAGGATCTGTCCAAACTTTTCTAGTATTTCTTTTCTTGATCTTCTTAATATTTCGTCATGCCAGCCTTGGCACCACCTCACTTTAGGCCATATTAATATTGCAGAACGTTCGTTATCTGAGGTAGGCAATAGGTTCTGTCCTTAGGCAGGGACACACAGAGTCCTTAAAATGGTAGTATTCCTGCTAACCCTTCTGTATCAAAATATGACACACACCAGGGTACGACCTTAAAGATAGTATCAACCAAATCATACTCATTGTGGCTCTTAAGGAGCGGTCCAGACTAGTTAAACGGGTTTCTCACATTTGTTTCTAGTATGTTTTTAAAATTTTACCGTCAATAGTATAAAACTGCCACATATTCTTGGAAAGGAACTATTTGTAGATTTACAAGTGTCATCTTCATTGTCAAAAACAAAATTAAAACATCAACTGCGCTTGAATTGTGACATAGTAAAGTATATGTACTAAACAAATATTTTGGTCAAAAAATATAACTTTATGCAGAAATTATTGATTACTAGATAAGAAAGATTTCTCTACGATATATATTTCGAGAACAACAGTAGCGCCTTTCAAACTGGATATCTGTCACGTTTCGTTGGGGAAAGACGCGTTTTACTTTCACCAAAAATTATTTAAAAATAAACCCTGTTCACGTCCGATGAAAGTGGATGGTTCTTAAATCTTGTTTCTTCATTTTCATATATGAATTCTTTCCCTGTGCTAAATCTGAAATCGTAGGTTCAGAATTAACTCTGGACTGCGACCTCAAACAGGCTGTAACGAAAACTTGCTTTTCTAATCGTAAACAAAATGGCCTTAAACCAATTCAATATCATTCGATGAGAAAAAGTTCCCAAAGTTCACACGTCCTTATACTGTGATGTAAGAATGTAGAATGCTGATATATAGATAGCAGGAACTATAAATCTGATACCAGCAAAGCGTGTGTATCTATAATACTACAGGAATCCAAATATGCACCCACAATTGTATTCCACAACGCCGAAGTTTCATCAATCTCGGCCCATCATGTGGTCACAAACTTTGAGCAGTCGTTAGAGGAAACAAGAAATCAAATCGAGTTTTCTTCAGCATATAAATACAAATGTATGTATATTTGTGTTTCGTGTCTGTAGCGGTGTTGTTGTTGTTGTTTTTTTAATTATGGAAGATTTGGATATGTTGACAGTAGATTTGAGTAAAGTTGCCGGTATGCTAACCATACTCTAAACAACATATCTCTGATGACGAATTCACTTATTAAGGGAACGGCCTTTTTTATTTTTCGAGGTGTGAGGAGAAGCTGGATTCGAAGAGGTCAGGATATACATGTATCAGGCCAGGTTATTTAAGGAATGACCAAGATTTTGTTTTGGTATATACAGGAACTTGTTAGCCGTCAAGATCACTGCGGTCGGAGTCAGAATCTTTGTTGTGTGTCCCAAAATCTCGTACTGGGACCTACAGAAACAGATGCTTTGGGAGGGTTTCGGCTACGTTGTGGAATAGCTTACCATCTGCTATTAGGAAGTCGAATTCCCTGGCCAAGTTCAAGAGGGACATAAAAACTCACCTCTTCACGTCTGCATTTTAGAATCTTTGCAAAGACGTCATGTAAATACCACCCTATTATTTGTTCAATTATGTGCACATTGCTTGTTAAATGTATGAAAGTGATTGCAAGCCTTTGTTGTTTATTTTCACAATTATAACCATTACTATTATCCATATGTTGTAAAGCGCCTTAGAGTAATTTTACAAATTATAAAGGGCGCTATATAAATGCTGTATATTATTATTATTATTCTTATTATACGGTATATACCGAAAAAAAAATGTGCACTTTGCATAAATCCGCGAAGCGGTTTATGCAAAAAGTGCACAATATTTTTTCGGTATATACCATATATACTAAAACAAAATCTTGGGCCTTCTTTATAATTTAATTTTTAAAAAGTAGACAAACACGTTGTAAATGCACAGTTAAAGATTTATTTAATTTTTACGTAAACTAAACAATTGCCCTAATAAAAGGCTGCGTTGTAATTTTGCATTCTGAAGTGTAAAAAGTAGTTCTGTCATCAGTTGTTTTTCTTTTTAGGTATATACGATATATACCAAAAAAATTATTATGGGGGAGATAGGCAAAATTGAATTATTTTACATTACGTCAGAAACCAGACTTTCTAATACGGTATAAAATGCTGCTCGATTTGTCAACAAACTCACATGCAAGAAAACTGACCATCCTAATACTTACTAGCATATATATTTCCAGAGGCACATTCTGTTTCACAAAGATGTAGCACGTTTATTTTATATATTTTCCTCGGCATTCTGGCGAGCAAATCAGTTTATAGGCCAGAATTCCCTTTTTTCCGGACGGGAAGTCATTTGTTTCGAAATTTTGCCTGTAGAACTAAAGCATACTTCCTTGTTGCTTTGTTTTAGGAGCCACAATGACAGTCCAGAGCCTCCTCCTGTCGACAAGGCTGCTTTTCGCCCTGACAGTAGTCATGTGCGTGTCGGGTCAGTTCACCACGACCCTCAAAACCCCATCTGGTTCCATAAAGGGACTGGTTAAGTCCGTTCTCAGGCGGAATGTTACACAGTTCCGTAACATTCCGTACGCCAAACCTCCCGTAGGCAAGCTGAGGTTCAAGAAGCCTGTCCCCATAGAGCCGTGGGAAGACACCCTCGACGGAACAGCATTCGGACCGTCATGTGTGCAATATAAATCTATAGGGGGCGACTATCAGTGGGCAAGAATAGAAAACAAGAATCTGTCAGAAGACTGCTTGCAGCTGAACATTTTTACCACGTATCCCATCTCTACAACAGACAAGAAGCCGGTCATGTTCATGATCCATGGCGGATCGTATATTATAGAACAAGGAACTGCATATGACTCGTCCTACCTCGCAATAAAGGACGTCATCGGCGTAAACATAAACTATCGTTTGGGTGTATTTGGGTTTCTGAGTACGGGAGACGATATTCTGCCTGGTAACTACGGACTCTGGGACATGATTGAAGCTCTGAAGTGGGTGCAAGCAAACATCGCGGCTTTCGGAGGGGATCCCAACAATGTAACTATATTTGGTGAATCGGCGGGTGCAATATCAGTCACGTTACTGGCAAGTATCCCTAGCAACAGAGGTTTATTTCATCGAGTGATTGCTCAGAGTGGATCTGCAACAAGCCTCATGTCGATATCGCTTGATCCAATCCGAGTTGCCAGGGAAGTCATCAAAGACGTGGGGTGTATACCGACTCTCAATTCCACCATCAATCGTAACGTGGTGACAGACTGCCTTCAGTATGTTTCGGCTGACGTGTTGTTGCAGGCCTCTCTTGAGCCAACTACTAGCGTCCATTACTACGGCTACTTCTCTATCGCCTCGCAGCTCTACCCGGTCGTTGACAGGCAACTCTTCCGCACGCTGCCCGTCGACAGTTTAAGCGATCCCAACTCGGCTGAATCTGTCTTCTTCAAATCTATAGACTTGATAGCAGGCACAATGGAAAACGAGGGGTCGGTTGCAACGTACATGTTTTACCCTTACGAAGGGACAATGCAGTTTAACACGAGCGACGGCTATCCGCCAGCCTTACTGTGTAACGTGATGGCCCCAGCTGTAGCCAGGGACATGTTCCAGGCTGGTTCCGCCGTATCCGACATGATATGTAAGAGATACAGTACTAATGACAAGGCTCAGCGAAGCAGGAACATCGCCAACCTGTATGGTGACTCGTGTTTTTTGGCCCCGACCGTGCAAATACTGAATTTCCACAGTCAAGGACAGGGCTCAGGTAAAACATACCAATATGTGTTTTCCCAGGTGACGAATACGACCACATTGTATGAAAAACCCTATTGGATGCTAGGCGCAGGCCACGCTGAGGAAACGGGCTACCAGTTCGGTCCTTATAACCAAGCACCCGCATTTGCTGCCACAGAGCAGGCCCGGGCGTTAACAGAAACATTCAACTCGTACTTCGTCAATTTTGCTAAAACAGGGTAGGTATTCAAAGACAGGGTAGGTAATCAGAATGTAAACAAGGAATGCAATAATGGTGTTACATGTAACAGTGTGTGTCGTATGCAAATAGGGTAGGAATTTAGAACGTAAACAGATTAGGATTAAATGCGAAAATACCTTAAATGACTTTACCCAGAGGCCGATGGTAGTAAGAATCATGCAATGAAGCGCTTCTTGGTCCTTTCCTTGTCATTTAAACGACTTTTTCTGAAAAACAAAAACACCCAGAGCCATGATATGTGGCCAGTATCATGCTGGTATAAAGTGCAACCAAATTACCTTGACCAATTTTCAAGATCACATGCAGGGGTCAAATTGAAAAAGAAAACCTTTCAAACCATTTCTTGAAACCTTCAGATAGTGGCATGCTGCGTTAGTCGTCACTTTTATTTCTGTGTGTAGTGTAACTTCATTAGCTGGGCTGACAATTCTGTTTCTGTGTACTATAACTTTGTGATTCCGTACTTACTGTTACCTCGTTAGTAAGGATACTTGTGCTCAGCGGAATGCCATCAGCGGGTCTACTCTTGTATGATCAACAACAACTAAATTATTTCAATAAAAATATCATGATTTCAAAATTTTGAACGAGGTTGCACTTAAAAATCCATTGCTACCAAAATTTTCATTTCAATCTATTTTTCAAGAAATTGTTAGAACGTGTTCCTTATTTCGTAATGACTGAAAGACTAAACCTATTAATACCGATTTATTTTGTTTCTACATAGGAACCCAAACGATGCCGGCTTAGTCTATTGGCCTGAGTACAGTAATACTGACCGTAGATATATAGACATCAAGTATGAACCAACACAAGGCAAAGACCTGTTCCAGGCCCGCATGAAGTTCCTATTGGAAGAGATCCCAAACAGCCTGAAAAGTGACGTAACCAACTCAGCCCGAAATCTGTATACGCCTGTATCTTATTTGGTTGGAATGATTGTTTTAAATGCTCTAGCGTTATACGTGTAGATATTCTACTATACTCTTGTCTCAGTCTACAGCGGTCGTATTTTGATGATTGATGAAACTCATTACTCATGTTTTATTAAGTTTATAACGATGTCAGTATGCGTCTGCCCATCCAATATAAACAATTGGTTAAGGTCAAGAAGACTTTCAGCAACAAAGGGTGTGTATAGGTCTTGAACAAAGTGCATTTTTATAGGTCTTGAACAAAGTGCATTTTTTATAGGTCTTGAACAAAGTGCATTTTTTATAGGTCTTGAACAAGGTGCATTTTTATAGGTCTTGAACAAAGTGCATTTTTTATAGGTCTTGAACAAAGTGCATTTTTATAGGTCTTGAACAAAGTGCATTTTTTATAGGTCTTGAACAAAGTGCATTTTTTTTAGGTCTTGAACAAGGTGCATTTTTATAGGTCTTGAACAAAGTGCATTTTTTATAGGTCTTGAACAAAGTGCATTTTTATAGGTCTTGAACAAAGTGCATTTTTTATAGGTCTTGAACAAAGTGCATTTTTTGTAGGTCTTGAACAAGGTGCATTTTTATAGGTCTTGAACAAAGTGCATTTTTTATAGGTCTTGAACAAAGTGCATTTTTATAGGTCTTGAACAAAGTGCATTTTTTATAGGTCTTGAACAAAGTGCATTTTTTGTAGGTCTTGAACAGATTTTGTATAGACATTGAACAAGGTGATTTGTTATAGACATCGAACAGGGTGATTTGTTATAGACATTGAACAGGGTGATTTGTTATAGACATTAAACAAGGTGATTTGTTATAGACATTGAACAAGGTGATTTGTTATAGACATTGAACAAGAGTTAATGTATCAGACCACTAACAAGACATTATATCATTTCATACATTCAACCTACAATATTTCAATATATCAAAATACAGTATAAGGAACAATATGACGTCCGGACTAGCACCTGTGCTGGTCCAGAGACAATAAGACGTCCGGACTAGCACCTGTGCTGGTCCAGAGACGATATGACGTCCGGATTGGCACCTGTGCTGGTCCAGAGACGATATGACGTCCGGACTAGCACCTGTGCTGGTCCAGAGACGATATGACGTCCGGACTAGCACCTGTGCTGGTCCAGAGACAATATGACGTCCAGACTAGCACCTGTGCTGGTCCAGAGACAATATGACGTCCGGACTAGCACCTGTGCTGGTCCAGAGACGATATGACGTCCAGACTAGCACCTGTGCTGGACCAGAGACGACTGGATTAGGGACAGATTGTATGGTAGTCATCATGATCTCGCAGGGAAATATGTTATTTCTTACTGTGATATGAAGGTCGATGTTTTTGACTATGCTCATAACAGTGTCTTGTGGTTGTGTTGTCACTCCCCTAGTTCTCGACACGAGGACGAGACATTACTTGTGGTTGTGTTGTCACTGCCCTAGTTCTCTATGTGAGGACGTGACATTACTTGTGGTTTTGTTGTCACTACCCTAGTTCTCGGCACGAGGACGTGACATTAATTGTGGTTGTGTTGTCCCTTCCCTAGTTCTCGACACGAGGACGAGACATTACTTGTGGTTGTGTTGTCACAACCCTAGTTCTCTATGTGAGGACGTGACATTACTTGTGGTTGTGTTGTCACTACCCTAGTTCTCGACACGAGGACGTGACAATACTTGTGCTTGTGTTGTCACTACCCTAGTTCTCTATGTGAGGACGTGACATTACTTATGGTTGTGTTGTCACTACCCTAGTTCTCGACACGAGGACCTGACATTACTTGGATTCGACTTAGATTTACATGGCTGATGTAATCGATGAAGCGGTTCCCTTTTCGGAACACCTGTTCTTATTCTCTTTGTACTTTCTAATGGTCTCTGCGCCAATCTCTTCTTTGCTCCTATGTTGCCCAAGTTTTATTGATTTTGAGTTCGAATTATGGTTTTAATGACGCTTCGATATTACCCCCATCTGCAGACGCAGTCTAAACACGTACTTTGTCTTTCCCCTTTTTTCAATCTTCAGTTGTAAAGTCCATGGACAAGCTGTGACCATATTATTCATGTATGTATTACTTGTATATTACAAAGAATAACTTCAAATGTTCAGTCTCCTAGCCTTCTTCATGAACCGTGGATATGCTTCTGGTTCTAGGTAGTGTTGACTTTGATAGTTCAAATGTACATGTACAGGTGCCTGTGGTCCTTTTGACGTCATCAATCCATGTGATGTCATTTTGATAAATTATGGCGTCGCAATAGTGCTGCTTTACAGAGAAGCACTCAGGTTATAACGCCTATCTTAGCAATGCATCCATATGGATATACTTTATTTTTTTAGTAGTTGGTAGCGATTTGTTTCCTAATCCATTTCTCTGGAGTTGGTGCTGCAATCTAGAGGCACCTTTTAACACCTTTATGATAGAAATTTTTAAATCTTTTGCTGATTGATTGCTCTTACTGAAGTGCCTGTTTATTGGCTTTTCAACTTTGTTCAGGTGTTCATGTTTACGTACATTGTATGTTTCTGTATTTTCCGCATAAACAGTGGTGTCACAGTTACTAAACAAAACGGCAGTGAACTAAATTCTGTGAATAAAACATAATCTGGTTGAGAATCATATGCAGTCTCTTTAAATTTGGCATGCATTGCGCTTCTGTGAATCTGTGTACATGTACAGGTGCCTGTGGTCCTTTTGACGTCATCAATTCATGTAATGTCATTTTAATAAATTATGACTTCGCAATAGTGGTTTAGTCATAGTAATTACACAGAGAGCACTCCTCAAATAACGCTTATCTTAGCAATGTATCCCTATGGATATAGCTGGTAACGAGTTGTTTGTAAACCCATTTCTCTGGAGTTGGTGGTACAATCTAGAGACATGTTTAAATCTTTTGACGATTGATTGCTCTTACTGAAGTGCCTGTTTATTGACTTTTTACTTTGTTCAATTGTTCATGTTTACGTATCTTTTTGTATTTTCTGTATAAATAGTGGTGTCACAGTTACTGAACAGTAAACAGTAAACTAAATTCCGTAACGTGAATAATGCACTGTGCTCTATCACATGAGGAAGATATATTGACGGCACCGTTGTTTGTGTAACACCCTTTGCAAGTACAACTGTTTGTTAGTTTCACATACCAATCTTTATGTACTTGTCTATTCTTAGTATCCAGATGTACACATGTTTAAAAATCGTTTTGTCCTTGCTCTATCTAAGTTCGATCTTGATATCCTTGTGAAGTGCGTTCGAATATTCTGCAAAAGTAACATTTATGTAGTAGAGGCTCCAGAGTTTCTGTCCATGAGTCAAACCCGTCACCGATGTATATTATATATAAATAAATATAGCCAATAATCACAACGTAGACGTTATTCATCCTAGTACTTTGTATGTATACTCAATCGCAACTTCTCCCGTCTGTTTTGAGCTGTTCTCGTCCAGACTAAAGGTATCATCGTCTTAAACAGTACGCTATCATACTCATGACATCATCTGACGGAGAGGTGTGAGAGGATCTTCTGACTTTTGCATACCATGAAATCCTTCCTTTCTTGATATGGATACGTATAATTTACACATATCAAAGCAGGAAAGGATAGCATTGCCGGGTATTGGTGCATTGATGACATTCCTTCATATTTCAGATTTATGCAGCGGACTATTTAACGACATGGTCACCCCGTTCAGTTTTCGCCAACTCAGCAATCTTTCTGTTGGGTGTTTGAATCCTGCTGACTAAGACTCTATAGGGATGACCTGGTTATATTAATGCAGCACCGGATTGCCTTTCAATTAACCTGCCTTTATGTCTAGAATGAGACATCTTTGCCTATCCTTGGAAATGGAGCTATCCTTTTAGTAAGGTTCTTCAATAGATCTTTTGTTGGGTCATAAGTCATATGATGCGCTAGATGACAATTCTTTCGCCAGTTCATTGATATGTCATCATTTAAATCAACAACAGCAATTCCCAAGTCTTTCACAAAAGCCCAGTGCATGACACATTTAAAAGAACAGTACACATAGAAACACTCACATAATGCTTCTCTTAACCTTGAATCTCTATGAGTAGTTCGTACTCAGGTAAAGATACATCGTTTAACACCTTCAGGATGGAAATGTTTACACCCTCCAACCTGTGATGGTTTCTATGTGTACTGTATGACTAAGGCACTATTGTGACGTCATAATTACCATGACATCACACAGTAATGATCGATGATGCCACAAGGACATTAATTAAGACACCTGTACATATGTCTACAAAGATGTACTGTAGTTTTCTATAGGTGTCCTTCATATAGTTTCCATACAGCATTAGCTATAACTACTAGTGTACAAATACATCAGAAAAGCAACAATAAAATCAGGAACACAGTTCTTTCTAATTAATATAAAAATAAGTTTATTCAATTTAATATAACCATACAGATAAAATGATGCATAGTTAATTGATTTAGTTAAATACAGTTATGAAAACATTATTAATAACAATGAGCTGCATACCATGTATGCGAACAATAGTACTATACAGATACATGTAGTACTATACAGATACATGTAGTACTATACAGATACATGTAGTACTATACAGATACATGTAGTACTATACAGATACATGTAGTACTATACAGATACATGTAGTACTATACAGATACATGTAGTACTATACAGATACATGTAGTACTATACAGATACATGTAGTACTATACAGATACATGTAGTACTATACAGATACATGTAGTACTATACAGATACATGTAGTACTATACAGATACATGTAGTACTATACAGATACATGTAGTACTATACAGATACATGTAGTACTATACAGATACATGTAGTACTATACAGATACATGTAGTACTATACAGATACATGTAGTACTATACAGATACATGTAGTACTATACAGATACATGTAGTACTATACAGATACATGTAGTACTATACAGATACATGTAGTACTATACAGATACATGTAGTACTATACAGATACATGTAGTACTATACAGATACATGTAGTACTATACAGATACATGTAGTACTATACAGATACATGTAGTACTATACAGATACATGTAGTACTATACAGATACATGTAGTACTATACAGATACATGTAGTACTATACAGATACATGTAGTACTATACAGATACATGTAGTACTATACAGATACATGTAGTACTATACAGATACATGTAGCACTATACAGATACATGTAGTACTATACAGATACATGTAAGCATGAGTCTCAGTGGTACCATGTAAACAAATGTATAAATACATATAAAGAAGTCAGCTGAACTATTCTAGGAATCAAGTGTCCAGAATATAAACATCATGTCAAACATGAAAGACATTTAATTTGAGGAGAGGAAGACTGAGATTTCTATATTCTTTGTAGAATAAGGTAAACATGATGTCAAAAACGGATTTCTTGACTGTTACATATATCCACACACAAGCCAATACATGATATACATAAAAGATTAATAACACAAACTTTAAAATGTGATAGTATAAAGCATGTACACATAAATATATATATATATAAACAACAACATACACACAGATTGCACTACAGAACTATGTATAAAATTCTCTCTCTATTACATTGTCCGGTTTCTAATGAAGTAGATTGTACACAGCCTGTATATTAATGAAATTTAATAAAGTACATTATTAACAAATAACAGTTTTGAACACTTTTCGTTAACATATAAATATACATTTGGAAGTAAAAAATAACACATGTACTGTCTCTTTGTGAGAAGAGGTTCATCAACACCAGAACTGCAGACTAACCAATGCCCCTCAAAGAACCGTAGAAAGTTCATAAACAGTTTCCTATGACATGACTATTCGTCTGCTGGATTACCGAACTCGGTAGTGAAGCGGACGTAAAACCTATCAATCAATCAATCAATCAATCAAACATGACTTCTAACATGTTTATAAGGATATTCATTTTCCTGTGATCTGACTACCATTAAATAGGATCCAATGTTTTACATTACATATATAGCCGGTAATATTCTGAGTATCTTTGGCTTTTATCTGGAATAAACAGTTCTTTTCAATTCTAATTATATATTTATATTTTGTTGAATTTTTCAAAATTTATGTGTATTTTAACTCTAATTATATTTCCATAAAAACAAGTTTGCAAAACTGTCCTCTACCTTTCTTTGTCTTGTTTCACAGAATGAAAAGGACAACAAAATTATGAAAAATATTTTGAGATAAATGTCCTTTTGTATATTACACATATATAACATGGCATTATAAACACAAGTGTTGGATCAGTGACAGTAATATGAAACACACTATGTTACTAGTGGTGACATGTAACCATTGGTAACACCATGTAATTAGTGGTGACATGTAACCAGTGGTAACACCATGTACATGAGTGGTGACATGTAACCAGTGGTAACACCATGTAATTAGTGGTGACATAGAACCAGTGGTAAGACCATGTAATTAGTGGTGACATGTAACAAGTGGTTACACCATGTAATTAGTGGTGACACCATGTAATTAGTGGTGACATGTAACTAGTGGTAACACCATGTAATTAGTGGTGGCATGTAACCAGTGGTAACACCATGTAACCAGTGGTAACACCATGTAATTAGTGGTGACATGTAACCAGTGGTAACACCATGTAACCAGTGGTAACACCATGTAATTAGTGGTGACACCATGTAATTAGTGTTGACACCATACATGTATAACAACAAGTGACATGTTGATATTAGATAATCATAAATTTCATAGCATAATTTCAATTGATGAAATATTCAACAGCCAATCGCTGTAGAATGGCCTACATCAGAAATAACTGAGGGTTTTGATTGGCACGTTTTTTAAGCATGCCAAACAGGTCTCTTTCTGATCCCGTCATTGAAAAGATACAAGGGGAATGTGAATGGAATCTTACTATGGGAACCAAATGATATTTAATAACATGTAAGCTCCGAGTAGCACTGGGTTATGTTATGTAATTATCATTATGAGTGTGCATACATAACAACCTGGTCTTACTTGACAGGTATTGTTTCTGAGCTCTTTTACTACATACAATGTACTGTACTATGTACAGAAACCTTTCACACCGACACCTGTTGTAGTATAAATCTCTATACATTTAATTATATTAATCTCTATACATTTAATTATAGGCACACCTTTATATGTTGTACTACAACCCCAATCCTTTCCAGGTGGCCTACAGTAATAACACCACCTATGATACTCAATGTAGATCCTTCAACATAACAGAAGAAGTTGCATTGAGACAAGTATAGGTAGAATTGTAGACAGGAGATGTGAGGTAACCTCGATTCTTACCCTACCCTGAGTATATTTGAGACTGCTCCTTTAACAGAACACAGAGTCAATACAATTGTTAGGTGCCTGCTAGTACATCAGTCTGTCGAAAATCAAACACATCCTCAGAATCTTCCCTTGGCTGCAGGAGCTGATACTCTTTAACTCGTCCCAGGAGATAGTTTTTGTCCCGTCCCTCCTACAAATCAAGACAACAGATGAATCAGTATTCTCACACCTTTCCTATGGTTATGAACCACTGATAAGTCTAGTTTTTCACACCCCTCCTTCAATCAAAGACGTCAAACTATGCACCACAATTATGAAAAGTTCTTTTACACAACCAATACAATTTTCTATGTGACGTTTCGATGACTAGTATGACACGTACACTGTCACCTTCATCAGACAAATGACCAACGTATGCACACAAAGGTGTAAAAATCACCTTGTGTTTACGTTGAGATGAAGAGACTTGCATATACCACCTTCAAGTTTGAATATAAGGTGCCCAGTTAACACAATACATATTTTACACCTTTGTGTGCATACGCTTCACTGGTCATTTGACTGATGAAGGTGACAGTGTACATGTTGTACTGGTCATCGAAACGTCACATAGAAAATTGTATTGGTTGTGTAAAAAGAACTTCATAATCCATACTTACCAACCTGAATAAAACGTTTAGAAATATACATCACAATATAGTGAATACTCGTATAAGCAGTCTATTGGAGAGCCTTGTGCTGCTGCTTACCAACAAGACCTATATCTATTCTCACAATATAGTGAATACTGGCATAAGCAGAGTCTATTGGAGAGCCTTGTGCTGCTGCTTACCAACACGACCTATATCTAATCTATCACTACGACAACTTCATTCTCTGATAATCAATTTCATTATATCTGACATAGAAACATTATTGTTCTTTGGGGATTTTTTTATCAAAAGATAACAATTTTATCAGTCATAGTGACCATGACACCGAGAAATATGAACTTGTTATTCTTATCATTGACTAATGTATGATGTTTGGTCAAAATCCAATCAGAAATGAAGACGTCGTAGTAATAATGGAAACACCCTAGTTCTATCAAAGTCCTAATGTCCTCATAACCCCCTATTCTGTAAATGTTTCAAATGTCCTATCAAACTTCCCACTTCTGTCAATGTTTCCGATTTACACAAACAATTTAATTCCATAGATATGTTTTTCTTAGTTTTTTTTAATGTGAAATGGTTTATCAGAAGTATATATTTACTGGATCTATTTTTTGCAGTTATATATTGACCAAGGAAACAGTGAATAGTTTAACACAAACAAATAAACTTTATAATAAATCCTACACTTTGCCCCAGTTAGCAGACTTACCAGAACTAGTTGTTGCTGAAGCAATTTTTCTGTCCTCTTGTAGCCTGATCCAAGAAGCCAGTAGTAATACATTATGAGACTGAAATCACATAAATTATAATGTTATACATCAATCAAAAGATATACCCAGTTATCCTTACCCTGAACCACTGAGATTAATGAACTTTATTTTTAAATGTTTAAAATTGATGGACACAGAATTTCACCAGGATATATATGGATTCAATACAATCTGTGAGAACTAGAAATATAAAGACATTTTTTATTGCTTTAACATACAGGAAATTCTTATTTCAAAATTTAAATTAACATCTAGCATTAGCTGGGAATACTTTAAAAAGTGGATTGTATTATGTAAATCAAAGATGTGTTTTAACATTCTGATATGATAAAAAGGTTTTAGAATTAAATAAGGCTGTGGAAATAATATTGATTGTAAAATAATCAGAATTTGTCATCTATTAAGTATTTGGTAGCATTGTACAAGGTTTCAGAAGCCAGTGTAATCTGTGACTTTATCAAATCTATACACTTAGTTCACCAGTATTAAAATCCTTTACCAGAAAGCCACTCCCCTGGGACATGTTACTACTTACCACAGAATGATGATAAGGGGAACCAGAAAACCTGCAGTACCCAGGAAGTAGAAAATGTCACGAGCCACTGGCGGCCATCTTTGTACGGTGCTGGTAATAGTATCAAACATGACACTTTCGGTGCTGTTGTACACTCGGAAAGGCCCACAACTCTGACTAGGAGCGATGCTACATGAACAAAACAAGATGTTACTGGTCAAAGTGGTTTCATATTGATCATATTTTTATAAAGCAGGATTATCTTGTCTGACCTGAGGTGGACTCAGAAAGTTAGTTTTAGCATGGTATCACAGGAGGGTGACATGGTTTGAGATTTGATACAGAGGTATTTTTATATTGTAGAATGTAATACTTTTAGTAACAGTGGCCTTGACCTTTGACTTTTGCATCTTCAGTCAGGTAGCATAAATGATGTTTGAGTGTTATTGGACCAATGGAACTTGAGCTATTGAGCATTATTATTTTTGATTTGAAGCAACAATGACCTTGACCTTTGAACTTCCAATCTGAAAGTAGTCCTAAGCAAGTACTTTCCATAAAGAAGCAGTGTATTATTTTTCTGTTTATAGTAAGTGACCTTGACCTTTTATCTTAAGACTTGAAAAGCAATCCCAAGCAAGCACTTCGTAAAGAAGAACTGTGTATTAATTTTGGGTAGATTTAGTTATTGCTTGAAGACTGAGTGTGGAGGGACAGATAGATGGATCAATAGATAAGTGTGATTACAACACTCCCTCTGATCTCAATCGGAGAGATAATAAGTATGATTGTTACCTATCAGAAGATTTCTTTACTGGACAGCTACTTCCTTAAGCTGAGTGGAATAATGTATATTATTCATAAAATTCAACCTTTCAGGAAAAGATCACATCATTTTCTCCTCCACTAAGAGCAGTATTTAGCAAACAAGTAATAAGACTTTATAAGAAACTGTGTTAATATCACAATAAAATATAAAAATATCCTGTTTTGGAATGGAGTACTTACGTTCCAATCATGTAACCGATGGGGAGTGCAGCCAGTATAAAGGACAGCAGTAGTACGGTCATGAACAGGGAGTTGGAGCGTGACGTCTTAAAGGGACGATCTTCTATACGGCTGTTAGTTAGGGAAAACTGGGGGAGATACAAACAGGACATGCTATTATACTGCTGTATTCTCATTTATTTAAATTAATTGCTTACAGGCAATAATATTATAAAAGAAATTTTAATCCATACTCCTGCATTTTCAAAATAACTTTGTCATCAGTATTATTTATATATATGTACATTTAAATTAAACTTGCTGGTTTTCTCAGTCATGACTGCTGTGTCAAATGATGATACACTTACCAGTGAAAAAGTCTGGTAGAATCACAGTGCTTGCAATTACTGATGTACCAAGGTATAACTAACTGGTGAGAAAGTCTACAAGAACTCTTACCTTTCTGATATAGAAGAAGAGGAAGCACTTGACAAACGTCATGAATGGAATGATGGGACTAAAGAACAGACCCAACCTGCAACAGAACACCACACCTATCACTTTCAAGCTGGGTGTTTTTTTATCAGCATTGTTAATTTTACACATTGACTCAACATCCTTTCTGAATTTTATTACACAGCACTATTTCTGGAGAGAGGACTTCAAATAGAACATTTATAAAATTGTACACATTGCTATCTCTTGGTCAGGGAGAATAATATTCTTTCAAAAAAATCACATAAATGACAAATATTCCAAAGTATGGCTGGGGTTGGAAAATATACATCTTACCAAATTTCACCAAAGTTGAATAACACATTACTTTGTAGAAATCAATCTTAAGTCTTGTCTGGAAATGATTAAAGATAACTCAAACATATCCATGTATGGGTCACTATTGGAGGTCTTTGTTATAACAATTAAACGAACATCCTAATTACTTTTAATCAGATAGGACAATACCTTGTTCAGACAACTAATGACATCCACCACAGAAACAAGACAGGACACTACCTATAGCTAGTAGGCCTACAGGATACCATTGATATATACTGAACTGCTTGAGTTTTGTTTCAGGGTTCTGTGTCCTTGCAATAAATAAAATCATATAAAGATGTGTTTTTCCTAGACGATTGGGCCACTAAAGGGCAATTTTAAAGTGTAATCTCTCTGAACCTGGAAAAGGTAGCATGAAATTTCACCTGGTCAAATTATTTTGACAACCAGAGACCTATCTGTAATGAGTAACATGATGTCACTGTGACTTACCAGCAGAGAATCTGACTGTAGATAATATCCACCACATTGATGGGAACGCTGAACTCCTGGGCTCCAATAATTTTGATAAGCTTACTTGTTGAACTAAATCTATTAAATACCAATCTGGAACAAAGTAACTGCCATTAGTAAACTACAAGTTAGGTTATTTCACAATGGATGTACCGGTATGTGTCTTGATTTACAATGTCATACATATGGCCTTTTATTTGTAGGAAACGTTTTTGAAATGTGAAAAAGATTTACCAAATTACTGTACACATTTCTCAACACCTGTCCATTCTCCAAATAACATAAATATATCACAGTAAACAGGTACATTGTATATCTTCTTCTCAATAAACCTTGTGATTGTCTTTTGTTGAGGAATTACTTGGAGTACTGAATCTCTGTACAAATTCTCTGAATGTGTGTTAAGTAATTGGGAGTAATCTTACTTGCCCACTATGCATAGTACTTAGGATTGAATGTTAGGGATTAGTTTTATTGGGAGTTATTTTATTTTACCGGTGTGCAGAACCTCAGATCGTATGGTAGGAGTAGGGATAGAGCAGAACCTCAGACTGTATGGTAGGGATTAAGGATAGAGCAGAACCTCGGACTGTATGGTATGGAGTAGGTATAGAGCAGAACCTCAAACTGGTAGGGTGTAGGGATAGAGCAGAACCTCGGACTGTATGGTATGGAGAAGGAATAGAGTAGAACCTCCGACTGTATGGTAGGGAGTAGAGAGAGAGCAGAACCTAAAACTGTATAGCAGGGAGTAGGGATAGAGAAGAACCTCAGCCTGTATGGTAGGGAGTAGGAATAGAGCAGAACCTCAGTCTGTATGGTTGGGAGTAGGGATAGAGTAGAACCTAAGACTGTATGGCAGGGAGTAGAGATAGAGCAGAATCTAAGACTGTATAGCAGGGAGAAAGGATAGAGCAGAACCTCAGCCTGTATGGTATGGAGTAGGTATAGAGCAGAACCTCAAACGGTATGGTAGGGAGTAGGGATAGAGAAGAACCTCAGCCTGTATGGTAGGGAGTAAGGAGAAAGTAGAAACTGAGACTGTATGGTAGGGGGTAGGGATAGAGCAGAAACTCAGACTGTATGGTAATGAGTAGGGATAGAGTAGAACCTGTGACTGTATGGTAGGGGGTAAGGATAGAGCAGAACCTGAGACTGCATGGTAGGGAGTAGAGACTGTATGGTAGGGGGTAAGGATAGAGCAGAACATCAGACTGTATGGTTGGGAGTAGGGATAGAGTAGAACCTAAGACTGTATAGCGGGGAGTAAGGATAGAGCAGACCCTCAGACTGTATGGTTGGAAGTAAGGATAGAGCAAAACCTCAGACTGTATGGCAGGGAGTAGAGATAGAGCAGAATCTAAGACTGTATAGCAGGGGGTAAGGATAGAGCAGAACATCAGACTGTGTGGTAGGTAGTAGGGATAGAGCAGAAACTCAGACTGTATGGTAATGAGTAGGGATAGAGTAGAACCTCAGACTGTATGGTAGGGAGTAAGGATAGAGCAGAACCTGAGACTGTATGGTATGGAGTAGGGATAGAGCAGAACCTCAGACTGTATGGTAGGGAGTAGGAATAGAGCAGAACCTCAGACTGTATGGTAATGAGTAGGGATAGAGTAGAACCTCAGACTGTATGGGAGGGAGTAGGGATAGAGCAGAACCTGAGACTGTATGGGATGGAGTAAGGATAGAGCAGAACCTCAGACTGTATAGTAGGGAGTAAGGATAGAGTAGAACCTGAGATTGTATGGAAGGGAGTAAGGATAGAGCAGAACCTGAGACTGTATGGTAGGGAGTAGGGATAGAGTAGAACCTGAGACTGTATGGTAGGGATTAGAGATAGAGCAGAACCTAAGACTGTATAGCAGGGAGTAAGGATAGAGCAGAACCTCAGACTGTATGGTAATGAGTAGGGATAGAGTAGAACCTCAGACTGTATGGTAGGGAGTAGGGATAGAGTAGAACCTGAGACTGTATGGTAGGGAGTAGAGATAGAGCAGAACCTAAGACTGTATAGCAGGGAGTAAGGATAGAGCAGAACCTCAGACTGTATGGTAGGGAGTAGGGATAGAGGGAGTAGGGATAGAGTAGAACCTCAGACTGTATAGTAGGGAGTAGGGATAGAGCAGAACATCAGACTGTATGGTAGGGAGTAAGGATAGAGCAGAACCTCAAACTGTATGGTATGGAGTAGGGATAGAGTAGAACCTCAGACTGTATGGTAGGGAGTAGGGATAGAGCAGAACCTCAAACTGGTAGGGAGTAGGGATAGAGCAGAACCTCAGACTGTATGGTAGGGAGTAGGGATAGAGCAGAACATCAGACTGTATGGTAGGGAGTAGGGATAGAGTAGAACCTCAGACTGTATGGTAGGGAGTAGGGATAGAGTAGAACCTCAGACTGTATGGTAGGGAGTAGGGATAGAGCAGAACCTCAGACTGTATGGTAGGGAGTAAGGATAGAGTAGAACCTCAGACTGTATGGTAGGGAGTAGGGATAGAGTAGAACCTCAGACTGTATGGTAGGGAGTAGGGATAGAGTAGAACCTCAGACTGTATGGTAGGGAGTAGGGATAGAGTAGAACCTCAGACTGTATGGTAGGGAGTAGGGATAGAGTAGAACCTCAGACTGTATGGTAGGGAGTAGGGATAGAGTAGAACCTCAGACTGTATGGTAGGGAGTAGGGATAGAGTAGAACCTCAGACTGTATGGTAGGGAGTAGGGATAGAGCAGAACCTCAGACTGTATGGTAGGGAGTAGGGATAGAGTAGAACCTCAGACTGTATGGTAGGGAGTAGGGATAGAGTAGAACCTCAGACTGTATGGTAGGGAGTAGGGATAGAGCAGAACCTCAGACTGTATGGTAGGGAGTAGGGATAGAGCAGAACCTGAGACTGTATGGTAGGGAGTAGGGATAGAGCAGAACCTCAGACTGTATGGTAGGGAGTAGGGATAGAGTAGAACCTCAGACTGTATGGTAGGGAGTAGGGATAGAGTAGAACCTCAGACTGTATGGTAGGGAGTAAGGATAGAGTAGAACCTCAGACTGTAAGGTAGGGAGTAGGGACAGAGCAGAACCTCCGACTGTATGGTAGGGAGTAGGGATAGAGCAGAACCTGAGACTGTATGGTAGGGAGTAGGGATAGAGCAGAACCTGAGACTGTATGGTAGGGAGTAGGGATAGAGTAGAACCTCAGACTGTATGGTAGGGAGTAGGGATAGAGTAGAACCTCAGACTGTATGGTAGGGAGTAGGGATAGAGCAGAACCTCAGACTGTATGGTAGGGAGTAAGGATAGAGCAGAACCTCAGACTGTATGGTAGGGAGTAGGGATAGAGCAGAACATCAGACTGTATGGTAGGGAGTAGGGATAGAGTAGAACCTGAGACTGAATGGTAGGGAGTAGGGATAGAGTAGAACCTCCGACTGAATGGTAGGGAGTAAGGATAGAGCAGAACCTCAGACTGGTAGGGTAGGGAGTTATTTATCTACCTGGTGTACAGAACCTCAGACTGAATGGTAGGGAGTAGGGATAGAGTAATAGAATCCATCCCTGATGAGAGGTATGGATAAGGTTATTCAAACCCAAGCGATAAAATATTGAGTAGGAGACCTGAGGCTATGCCGAGGGTCTTTTGGTCAATATTTTATCCTGAGGGTTTGAATAACCTTATCCTTACCTCACATCATAGATGGATTCTATTTCTTGCTCATTACCTTAAACCTGTAAAAACAGCTGCTCTTCTAGTAAAGTTGTAAAGTGTCTGCACATTTCCCATTTGCATATGAAGCCCGGATGTCAATTGTTAGTGACGTCAATGATCCTGAATGACCCCAAAACATCATAAAATGACATCACAAACAATAGCGTGACCCTGAAAGGTCACTATAACTCCCTCCACCAGTCTGCATGTGTAAGCGATCTAGACCCGTGGGTCAGATAGAATTTTTCAGCACCGCTGGAAATGCGGATATCTCGGTCTAGCATGCAAGAATAAGTAATCTCACCTGCGGGGTAGGTGTACAAATATGACGATGCCGGTCTCCACAATCAGGTCTAACAATACCAGCTTGTAGATCTGCTGTCCAACATAGGTCTCCCAACACTGACAACACAGGTAAACATTATTCTCATTTACATACAAATAAACCAAGTGCCTATACTTCAAGTGTTTATAACTTTGGCAACATAATATCATCTATCGATGCCTATATGCCCTACATATCATTTCTCATACATATACACTGTATGTTAGTCAGTACTTTATAATTAGATTTATCTCACAGCATGTCTGTATCTCTCAGTTTACCACATACGCTCAAGAATATGAAATTAATGTGGAAGATTCATTCTAAACCTAATTCAAACCATCCATCCTATGGTATCTTTTCATTCTACTTGATAAAGAATACTCTACATGACATGGCTAATTCTATTAAGATTTTGTTACTTGTTATAAGTTATCAAGCATAAAGATCTTTTACTTGTTATAAATTATCATATCTGAAAAGAAACAAGTGTACAACTACACAGTATAAGATGTTCTGTTCATTACAAAGAGGCTCTAAAGAAAGTACCCCCACCATTCCCCTCCCCCAGCAGAAGTTTTTATTTTCATTTACACTTTGACAAACTCCCTAGAGAGGTCTTACTAGAGAAAGTGTCCCGCCTTCTCCCCTGACAAAGTTCACTATATTACTTTTGATCAAGTGAATCTCTCCCTACAGCCTTTCTCCTTGATAATTCTACCTTGACGCTGCCTTTGACAGTCCCTCCAGAGCTGGTTGACCAGCGAGTATTGCCACATCGCCCCAGATCCTCTTCCCCACCCACCCCGATCAGTTGCTGATACAAGATGGCTATCAGAACTATTGGGGAGGCCAGTCGCAATAATATGGATCTGAAATGTTGAAACATTTTCACATAAAGAGCACATATTCAATATAAGAAATTTTGAATAATGTTGGATGTCTTTTTCTTACTTAATATCTTTTCTAAAGACTCCAACATATTGTAGTATTCTAATCAATAACAACAATCTGATATTATTTTTAATATATTGTTTGTGCCACCAACAATAGGATTTAATAGCTTGTCTGGTACAACTGTTGTTTCCTCTATTTTTGTTGTTATTGAAGTTACTAGATATGAGTACAAGTACACCAAACAGACATCACTTACTTAGAAACTATTTCAGCTCCATGATGAGCTCTATATATAACAGCAAATACTGTTAACTTCAGATATTCTAGAAGTTTCTTAGCTGGGAACTCTACTGGAAAGCAGATTCATATTACAGTAACATGTATTCGTAATTATTATACATGTATCCCTAATTAGTACACATGTATCCCTAATTAGTACACATGTATCCCTAATTAGTATACATATATCCCTAATAAGAGGCACAGTAGTCTAGTGGAAGGATGCCCGGCTCATGACCAAAGGGTTGCAGGTTCGAGTCATGTCACAGTACTGTGTTGTATCTTTGAACAAGATACTTTACTTTGCTTGTTCCAGTCTACTCAGCTGTAAATGAGTATGTGGTTAGGCAGTGCTAGAATTGTTGAAAGCTAGCTGTGAGTTCCGAAATGGCAACACTGGCTGTATGCTCCCCAGCGAGTTGATTAAGATATTGGCTGGTTGCAAAGGCCCTATAACCACGGATAATCATTTGTGAACCGGGTACCACTTTAAGAAACCTACGAACTAGGTTGTGGTTAAAGCATCATATAAGAATCTCAAATTATTATTATCATTAGTAGTAGTAGTATACATGATGACTTATACTCACCTAGTCAATGTGATCTTGATCTCATTTTCATGGAAGTATCGCTCAAACTGAACCAGCTTTTGGAAGACAATGGGGAGGATAAGGTTGAGAGCTGTGATGGTTATGTAAGGCACATACTGAACAAAAAGGGCCAGGATGTCCGACAGGTCCTTCTTTAATAACTGAAACACAAACATGAAACACTGAAACACACACTGTAAAAATGATTATAGATGTACATATATTAGTGGTAATCTTATTTTAGCACTTTTCAAGCTTTTAAGAGTGCACTAAATTTATCTGTTTAAATTCATCAATGCAATAATTTGTTACAATCACATAATGTACTAAAATTTTAGCCCAATGAAATAAGTATGTTTACATTAATTCACTGAAGTTTTGTGATTACTTGGAACTAGACTAAGTTTCATTCAACTTATGAAAGTTTAAGTAATAATAAACAAGACATCTATTAAAAATGTCTGAATGATTCTTAAGAAGATCTATGGGTTTATGAGTTACTCTATTTATAAACTGACATGAATATAAATATCTCAAAATAAAAAAAATAAATGTAACTATAAGAAGAAATGGTAAAGTAGGGGGGGGGGGGGTTGTCTCAAGAAACATTGCAGGCTAGAGTTTGTCTCAGGAAGCCATGGAGAATGGGGTTTGTCTCTGGAATCATGGCTGGATACGGTTTGTCTCAGGAAACATAGGAGGGTGGGATTTGTCTCAGGAAACATAGGAGGGTTGGGTTTGTCCAGGAAATAGAGGAGGATGGGGTTTGTCCCAGGATTTTGGAGGGTGGGATTTGTCCCAGGAAATATAGGAGGGTGGGGTTTGTCTCAGGAAACATAAGAGGGTGGGATTTGTCCCAGGAAATATAGGAGGGTGGGGTTTGTCCAGGATATATAGGAGGTTGGGGTTTGTCCCAGGATTTTGGAGGGTGGGTTTTGTCCCAGAAAATATAGGAAGGTGGGATATGTTTCAGGAAATATAGGAGGGTGGGATTTGTCCCAGGAAATATAGGAAGGTGGGATATGTTTCAGGAAATATAGGAGGGTGGGATTTGTCTCCGGAAATATAGGAAGGTGGGATATGTTTCAGGAAATATAGGAGGGTGGGATTTGTCTCAGGAAATATAGCAGGGTTGGGTTTGTCTCAGGAAATATAGGAGGGTGAGATTTGTCTCAGGGCAAGAGGCCCAATGGGCCTGCATCGCTCACCTGGTATAAATCTCACACATGTAACCTTAAAAGTGATCTAAAATAAAGCTACAGGCAAAATATCAGTATTTATGATTAAAATTCATTCAAAAGATCCTGTTAATTTTTTTTAAAACATTTCACCTATGTGATTGAAAGTCGAACAAATTTTATAGCCTTTCATCTCAGGATGCAACTTGCAAAGTATCAACATCCTGGGACACATGGTTATTCAGAAGACCCCTGTGACCTTGAATATAAGTCAAAGTCATTCCCTTTAACAAACATAGTAGTCCTTGATCCCAGCATGCTACTGACTAAATATCAACATCCTGAGCCTTTTGGTTATTCAGAACAAGTTGTTTAAATATTTTGAACATATTTGCTCCTTGTGACCTTGAATATGATTCAAGTTCATACATTTAAACAAACTTCGTAGCCCTTGATCCTAGTATGCTACTGACTAAATATCATCACCCTGGGAATTTTGGTTATTCAGAAGAAGTTGTTTCAAGATTTTAACATATTTGACCCCTGTGGCCTTGAATATGGGTGAAAGTCATTCATTTGAACAAACTTTGTAGCCCTTCATCTCAGCATGATACTGGCTAAATATCATCAACTTGGGCATTTTGGTTATTCAGAAGAAGTTGTTTAAAGTTTTTAACATATTTGACCCATGTGACCTTGAATATAATTGAAGGTCATTCATTTGAACAAACTTGGTAGCCCTTCACCCAAGCATGCTACTGGCCAAATATCATCTCCCTGGGCAGTTTGGTTATCGAAAAGAAGTTGTTTAAAGTTTTTAACATATTTGACCCCTGTGACCTTGAATATGGGTGAAGGTCATTCATTTGAACAAACTTGGTAGCCCTTCACCCAAGCATGCTACTGGCCAAATAGCATCTCCCTGGGCAGTTTGGTTATCGAAAAGAAGTTGTTTAAAGTTTTTAACATATTTGACCCATGTGACCTTGAATATAATTGAAGGTCATTCATTTGAACAAACTTGGTAGCCCTTCACCCAAGCATGCTACTGGCCAAATATCATCTCCCTGGGCAGTTTGGTTATCGAAAAGAAGTTGTTTAAAGTTTTTAACATATTTGACCCATGTGACCTTGAATATAATTGAAGGTCATTCATTTGAACAACCTTGGTAGCCCTTCTCCCAAGCATGCTACTGGCCAAATATCATCTCCCTGGGCAGTTTGGTTATCGAAAAGAAGTTGTTTAAAGTTTTTAACATATTTGACCCCTGTGACCTTGAATATGGGTGAAGATCATTCATTTGAACAAACTTTGTAGCCCTTCATCTCAGCATGCCACTGGCCAAATATCAGCACCCTGGGCATTTTGGTTATTCAGAAGAAGTTGTTTATAGGTTTTTTTAAACAATTGACCCCTGTGACCTTGAATATAATTGAAGGTCATTCATTTGAACAACCTTGGTAGCCCTTCACCCAAGCATGCTACTGGCCAAATATCATCTCCCTGGGCAGTTTGGTTATTGAAAAGAAGTTGTTTAAAGTAAACTGTTGACGACGGACGCCGCACCATGCCATAAGCTCCCTTGGCCCTTCGAGCCAGGTGAGCTAAAAATAGGAGGGAAGGATTTGTCTCAGGAAATATAGGAGTGTGGGATTCATCTCATGTGGACATAGTTTGTGTCAGTAAACCTTGGAGACTTGGGTTTTCCAAAAGAAACAGAAGCAGAGAGTAAAGGTTGATATTTACGTCCAACATCTTCTCTGTGGTGAAGGCGATAAGGTAGCAGGCGCCCCCCAGGAGAGCAAGCACTAGGATGTTGATCACCAAACGAATCATGTACAGCTGGCACTTGTCCTTCATCGTCTGCTTGGACAGCTTCAGTTTGAGACTCTGCTCCTGAAGGTCAGCCTTCAATGACCAAACATATACATTGCATCTCTCTTACAACAATGGCAACTTACGTCATTGTAATTTTAGTGTAACACAACCAACAATACATATTGTAGCTTCCTGATCATATCAACAGAATTTTATTGTTCTTTATCAGCAATACAGCAATATATGAAATACATGCATTTTTTTACAGTAACATTGCTTTTTTATATCTCCAATACATTATTATTTTAATCTTCATTATATTACATGACAGACAAAATTGGTCTGAGAAACATGCTTGTCCTGACCATGTATATTTGCAATAATTTTACCTTTATATCAGCCAATTGGTAATAATTTAACCTTTATATCAGCCCATTGGTAATAATTTTACCTTCATATCAGCCCATTGGTAATAATTTTATCTTTATATAAGCCCATTGGTAATAATTTTACCTTTATATCAGCCCATTGGTAATAATTTTACCTTTATATAAGCCCATTGGTAATAATTTTATCTTTATATCAGCCCATTGGTAATAATTTTATCTTTATATCAGCCCATTGGTAATAATTTTACCTTTATATATGCCCATTGGTAATAATTTTACCTTTATATCAGCCCATTGGTAATAATTTTATCTTTATATAAGCCCTTTGGTAATAATTTTATCTTTATATCAGCCCATTGGTAATAATTTAACCTTTATATCAGCCCATTGGTAATAATTTTATCTTTATAACAGCCCATTGGTAATAATTTTATCTTTATATCAGCCCATTGGTAATAATGTTATCTTTATATCAGCCCATTGGTAATAATTTTATCTTTATATAAGCCCATTGGTAATAATTTTACCTTTATATCAGACCATTGGTAATAATTTTACCTTTATATCAGCCCATTGGTAATAATTTTACCTTTATATCAGTCTTAAGGTTTGCCCTTTTGATGTTTGCACCCCGGTCTTCCTTGATACAATAATCCCAGCCACCAAACACTTTGTTACAGTACCGAGCTACAGTCTTCTCTATTCCAAGGGTCACTTTCACGTTCTTGGCAGAACTGTAACGGAAAGATTGACCAATCAGCAGAGTCAATGAACACTGCAATCAGCAATTGAAAGTTTAACAGATAATTTGACAATCAAGAAATACACTGAAATCTAATCACACGCAATTTTTCAGCGTAAGAATGTCCTTAAGTTACAGGTTAATAGTCTTATATTTCACATTTTTTCTTGGGTTAGATTTTCTCCAATTAATTCAATGGTTTAAGTCTGACAAGAGAATATTCCTTAGTATAAATTCATAAAATATAACATGCATTCTTTTTCAATGAAAGTTTATGAAAACAGTGAATCCAATTTAACTTGATAAAATATTAAAACCACACAACTAACATGACACAGAATGACATATCGTTAATTGAAGTCAGTGATGTCCCCAGATGCATGCAGGTCTATACGTAGCTACCACACCCTTCTCCATGAAACCGTCGACCAGTTAGGTCATACTAACTTTTTTACTAGAAGAAGGAAGCTGATGATGAAGCTAGCCCCCACAGCCAGCAGATAGGCTAGGCTCATATTGTAGACCTCTGTATCATCTCCTACACTGTAGGTCTTGTTGAAGTACACTCCATAAAACAACAGCTTCCTCTCCATCCAACCCTACACAGCAAAATAAGTCTTGGTTAGTGGCAAAGCTGGTCAGCAAGTATACATTCCAGAGGAACTATACTTACACATAATGAATCAAACATCTTAATGCGAAGTGTAATTCTTTTTCTTTTAGGTTCAATTTTTTATTTCCCCAGTATGTTTTAGGAGGGATGCCAGGGTTGGGATGCCCTGGTTTCATTCCTCTCACATCACAAGTGTTATTCACATAGACATATTGAGGACAGAATGAAACAAAATTTTAAATATTAAAGACATTTTTTTAATGTGTTATGTAAAACAAAGGTGACTTACTGTTCCCTGTAGAACATCAAGGACCTTCTCGAACGTGGACTCTGAGTTTGTGTAGTTGATGTTATAGTCAATGTAGTCCAGTGTACAGTTGACAGATTCTAGGTATCCCCCAACCTCAGGGCTCACAGATTCCTGAAATTCATAGGGCCCTAGGGCTAGGTGTGGCACTGTGATCACCCCAAACATTATTATCATGATGTAGAGGTTGAGAAACATTAGCCACTTTATGAAGCGAAAGTAAGTCATAATGGCTGTCCCGTATGAGCCTGAAAATCAAAGATTTACATTTTCACTAATGTTCTATGACATGATGTATGTACATACAAGATAGCTTCTGATGTATTCACTTTTATTATTTTTATCTCTCTCCGCCAGTAAAGATGGGTTTCACCCCAAAACAGGTAGAATCACAAATGTTGAGTTTGGCATGTATTTCCCCCAGTAATATCATCATAAACACAATGTATCTTTTAACAGATGTCTTACTTAGACTCAGCCTCATTTAGAACAATTGACAATATTGAATACTATTGATACAATTTGTTGAAATTGATCTGTATGTAGGCTACACCGCCAGTGATATCAATCTTATCCTTTTAAAAAGAGGTTCACATTTATTGTATGCCTGTCAAATATCTTCCATTAATTATAATATTGCCTCATTGACAAATGATTTTTTTTATGACATATTTGGAAAGCATTTCATTGACTACAATACATTTGGGACAAAAAAGTTTTTCAGGGAGATAACTCTGACATCAAATAAAGGTCTAATGAGTAAGGTTATCTAGAATAAATCAACTGAACACATGAGCCTGTAATCATGAAACCATTTCAAGCTTAAGCATGGATTTTGTGCTCAAGCTTAATTTCTTGTTCTTGTTCTTGTTATGAACTAATAAATAAAAATCTTATTTTGTCAATGATTTGGACAAAATTTGAAGAGACTTGAAGCCAAATATTGTTTTCAATGTTCACATTTTGACTTTTTGATTGTTTGACATGACTTAAGTGAGTTACAAGAAAATTGTACCATGCCGATCTTTAAGATTAATTGTTATACACTCTGTATGAAAAAAAAGGTTTGCTCTGTAAAGAAGACAAAATCATTACATGTACTCCTACTGTAAAAATAATACATGTTTATCAATGTCTTCTTGAGTTGATTCAGGAATACACAAAAAACAAACGTTCACAAAATAAATATTGACCGATTTGATTCTTACATGTAGTTACAGGTGAATGTGTTTAAATATTTCGATAAGAGATCAACACTTGCCTTCAATTTCTTTGAACACACTCAGCCATATGGTAAAGTGCTGTAGGACTTCTTTACTTTGTCTTTTCAGCTTGTGCCACATCTGATAATCAAACAGCGTCATGTTATTTTACAGTGTATTTTGGACAACTTCCTGATCAACAGCTCAGTAGATCATGACAAACTGATTTACTGTCAACAGTGATCAATCTAGTCCCGAGGCCTCTACTCATAAAATTTTAATGGGACTCAAAGAATTTCTAGAAATACTGAAATTTATCATTGTTGACCCATTGTTTTAGCAATACAGCGGAAAAGGATCGATGGAAATAAATTGTAGATCCATCACTGCATCATAGAAGTTCTAAAACTCCATAAATCTCTGTGTATACATTTCTACTTATGATTGACCTTCACCTTGATACTTAAAATTCATGTTTATTTCCAAGTGAAAGGTTAAGATAAACTAGAAAATGTTTTAAACATATAGATGGAAATAAAAGTATCTTTTCAGTCTAAGCAAAGAAATGGAGCTAAACAACCCCGAGTTTAACCACACAAATTCAGCTACATGTATGTAAATGTAATCAATGTCAGTGAAGCAGAACATTCAGGTCAAAGTGACCTATAGGCCCTATAATGGTATAGTACTCCTAAGAGAGATATCACGCATTAAAAACTTGACGATGATTTTTTTATTCTGTGACAACTTACAGCCCCACCTTAATCCCCCTCAAATTAAGTGTTTTTCAGTATATATTTTGATTTACCAGCAGCTTATGATTATCACAAATTTTATTTTTCAAAATCTGCATGACAAAAATCCAAATCAAACTGACCGGTAAGGGGAGGTTATTACTGTATATATGAAAAACCACAGTGCAGTGGGACAGGGGTCCTTAATGTCAGTCTTACCCAAAGTCACTGAACCAAAAATTATAGGTCACAGTGATCTACATTTGATATATTGGAGTGTTAGTATGTACTTTTCAAGATGCATAAAAGTATGAAGTTTGATGACTGTTGGACTTGTAGTACAGGTATAAGAATAATGAAGTTTGATGACTGTAGGACTTATAGTACAGGTATAAGAATAATGAAGTTTGATAACTGTAGGACTTATAGTACAGGTATAAGAATAATGAAGTTTGATGAGTGTTGGACTTGTAGTACAGGTATAAGAATAATGAAGTTTGATGACTGTAGGACTTGTAGTACAGGTATAAGAATAATGAAGTTTGATGACCGTTGGACTTGTAGTACAGGTATAAGAATAATGAAGTTTAATGACTGTAGGACTTGTAGTACAGGTATAAGAATAATGAAGTTTGATGATTGTTGGACTTGTAGTACATGTATAAGAATAATGAAGTGTGATGACTGTTGGACTTATATAGTACAGGTATAAGAATAATGAAGTTTGATGACTGTTGGACTTATAGTACAGGTATAAGAATAATGAAGATAAACACAATTAAGTCTACCGAAGATGTCATTTGGAAAAACTTAAGGTTGTCCCAATAGCATCATTTAATGCCCCACCAGTGTGTGACAGCTAGCTAGGGAAATACAAATATGGGCAGATATCTGAACCTCTCCCAGATCATAATAAGCAAATACAAAAAAAAGTATGTAGGTTAGTGAAACAAGTATTTATAAAATCTGGCTCCAGTAAATGAACTGTGAATCATACCTGCTCGGTGTTGGGTTATGTAATGACCAATAACAATGTTTACATAAAAATCATATGAACACTCCTACTGTATATGTTGAAATTTTAATGTGCTGTTACGAGTACACATTTGAGTGGTACATATCTATATATGGCCTGTCATAAGAGGGGGTCTGTACCTTGGATTCCGTGCCCTTGAGCATTCTAGATCTGTTCATCTTGTTGAGAGTGGAGTCCCTGGGGAAACAAGGGAATAACAATTTTACTTTAATTAAACTTTCTTGTAATAAACCAATGGCTAAATATTCATCCTTATAGCCAATTTTTATTAATTATTAATTATAGGGTAGACTATATCTTTTTAAAAGTAAAATAAGATATTCGAGTACAATTTAATACTTACAAACATCTCCTGCAAAAGAAGCTGTACAATATTAACTCTTCAGTGCACATACATGTATATAATAGATGTGAATTTATTACTTCAGTGCATTAAATCCTAAGTCTTCCACTCAAGTGATTCCTCCACCAAAGATGCAACATTCTGGAATAGGACCTTGAGGTTGATCATGACTGTATCCCAAGCAACTTCTAACCCTCATGACAGTATAACCCTGTAGCATGCGTTTTTGACTTTATAAAAGTGTAATTCTACTTACGAGAGATATTTGACACAGATTTAACATGATAGTTTTCATTATCAAGCTTACACTTTAACATCTAATCTTTTACGTGGCCTCAAAGTTCTTTTACATGGTCTCAAAGTTCTTTTACATGGCCTCAAAGTTCTTTTACATGGCCTCAAAGTTTTTGAAGTATGTAAAAATCTGTTTTAGATATGATTGTAAAATTTCATACATTTGTGTAAAATTGCACATTATAACATTGTAAACTGTCTTTGTAATACTGATTTAATGTCTTGTATAAACCCTCAAAAGACAGGCTTCATTAAAACATAAGGGCATGTCAATCGCTAAAACATCTTCAGTAGTTAAATAGTGATTTTAATCTACACTCCATCAGATGTTTTGGTTAAGATTAGTTAAATAAACGGGTTAAGAATGAGAAAAAGCGTTGAATAATTATCCTGCATCAAAATGACTTCAGCTATCATCTGTTTAATTGAGGTAAATGGAATCTCACTTTCAAATAATACAGGTAGTGAACACAGTTTGTGTTTATTTATTCTGTAGCACCTTAGATTGAATGAACCCTCAAGGAGCTGTAAGGTTCTTCACAGGTGATTATGTTTATATAGCTTACACAAACAATACTTCAAATAGACATGCAATATAAACTGAAGAATACATATAATATAATTTTTCATATTCATTACATCAAATCGATTAAGACAGAGTTGATATGATATTTGATATTAGGAATTAGTGTCAATTTACCTATACATATAATGACATGGATATATTTGTATAAGAATATTGTGCATAACACAAATCCTGAGTTATAGCCATACATATCTTTCAGACTTCACCCCACATAATCTAAGGGGAGGTAACATATATACAATATACGCTGTATCCTTCAGCTTGATATGCAATTGTATCATCAGAATATTCTCAATAAACAGGCTAAAAGACCATGCATGGCCACTTTTTGATCAGGTGGAAAGCTCCTCGCTCAATAACATACAGACACACCTGCCTTCATGGGAGTAAGGAAAAACAATCTTTATAAAAGTAACAAGCATAATGTGTCAGGGATCATAAAGCCTTAAATACAAATGATAAAGTGTCGCCAAGCTAAAGGTCTGGTTTATACCGGAGCCTGGACCATCAGGGTGTACTGCTTTGTGTTGTGGGCATAGATAATTGGAGGAGGCAGATGAACGTACTACTGTATATACCATAATAGGCTGGTTCGTGCAGGGTTACCTCATTAACTTAAAGTCTGTCCCACGTCTGGCCCTGAAGTTACACATAATACTGTGTAAACATCTACATGTTTCATATGGAAATTTCATCACGGCATGGTTAAGTATTGGATAGAAACAGGACAGATGAAAAGTTCTATCCTGCATACATTGTGTTCTTTTCATGCACAAAAAATACAAGATATGTCAAATCTGTTTAAAAAACAACTCCCTGTGACCATTCCTGTGTTCACTGACAAGATCTATTACCGGGGTGCAGTAGCTCTATTTTTATGTGAGGAGTTACTCAGGGTCACACGTACAATCATTTTTTCTGAAACAAACCCCATAATCCTTTGACAAACCATGTTTTTTTTCTCAAAAAAATAATTTATCCTGTATCTATCCTGAGACAAACCCAATCTCTTATGTTTTTATAGTTATATTTCAAAGCTTAGAAGAGTACCATGTAAAACTAAAGAGAAAAGTGTTAGGTATTTAATATGTTTATGTGTTGTTTTTTTATATTATTAACAAGACGAATTTTAAATGGAAATCGAGCACCTGTTAGCAGATTTTGTTAGATTAATACCAGATGTAGTTCTTCAATACCTGGTCTTTAAATCTTAGTAACTTTTGAAAATGAAGAAAGAGTTGTAGAGAATATTGGGATTTAGCATGTTAGCATATTATTTAAGAGACCTATTGCTAATGTTATTCTTCTGTATAACAGTCTGGGAAGTGCACATTGGATTGACTACTCCCTCATTACATTAACACTACTTACTGGTTTTTGTCTCTGTCAGGAAAAAATAAACTCAGATTACATCAATGTGTTAGTCTTTCTACAATGCAATAGTTAGCATGCAAATAAATCAACATTTACAATGTTCATGTTTAAAAAGTTGTTTATCTTAACTACCATCTGTAACAGCACTAAAAGCAAGGAAACTGGTACAACAGAAACTGAGATAGTTATACCAATGAAATGGGTACAAAAACCAGTGAAATGGGTACACCAGACACTGGAATGGGTACACAAGAAACTGAAATGGGTACACCAGACACTGAAATTGGTACACCAGACACTGAAATGGGTATACCAGACACTGAAATGGGTACAACAAACAATGAAATGAGTACAACTGTGACTTAAATTGGTACACCAGACAATGAAATGGGTACACCAGACACTGAAATGGGTACAACAGACAATGAAATGAGTACAACTGTGACTTAAATTGGTACACCGGACACTGAAATGGGTATACCAGACACTGAAATGGGTACACCAGACCCTGAAATGGGTACACCAGACACTGAAATGGCTACAACAAACAATGAAATGGGTACACCAGACACTGAAATGGGTACAACAAACAATGAAATGGGTATACCAGACACTGAAATGGGTACCCCAGACACTGAAATGGGTACACCAGACACTGAAATGGATACACCAGACACTGAAATGGGAACACCATACAATGAAATGGGTATAACTGTGACTTAAATTGGTACACCAGACACTGAAATGGGTACACCAGACACTGAAATTGGTACAACAAACAATGAAATTGGTACACAAGACACTGAAATGGGTACAACAAACAATGAAATGGGTACACCAGACACTGAAATGGGTATACCATACACTGAAATGGGTATCCCAGACACTGAAATGGGTACACCAGACACTGAAATGGGTACAACAAACAATGAAATGAGTACAACTGTGACTTAAATTGGTATACCAGACAATGAAATGGGTACACCAGACATTGAAATGGGTATACCAGACAATGAAATGGGTATACCAGACAATGAAATGGGTACACCAGACAATGAAATGGGTACACCAGACACTAAAATGGGTACACCAGACACTGAAATGGGTATACCACACACTGAAATGTGTACACCAGACACTGAAATTGGTACACCAGAAACTGAAATGGGTATACCAGACACTGAAATGGGTACACCAGACACTAAAATGGGGAGACCATACACTGAAATGGGTATACCACACCCTGAAATGTGTACACCAGACACTGAAATTGGTACACCAGAAACTGAAATGGGTACACCAGACACTGAAATGGGTATACCAGACACTGAAATGGGTACAACAAACACCGTAATGGGTACACCAGACACTAAAATGGGTACACCAGACACTGAAATGGATACACCAGACAATGAAATGGGTACAACAGACAATGAAATGAGTACAACTGTGACTTAAATTGGTACACCAGGCATTTAAGTTGATACACCAACTGTAAACTGGGTACATACAACAAAATGTAGATATTCAACAGACTTAATTTGAAATCCAAATAAATATAGATGTTTATTTTGTATATTTTAATCCCTTCTCTAGATACAATGTTTTATATGCAAAAAGTGACTTATATAAACTTAAACACTTGATGCAAGCCAAGACATAGCAGCTTCACTATTGGCAAAATTAGTAAGTATTTGCCTGTTCATGACAAAAACCCTATGCTACGGGCCACTCTGCCCTGAAGGCAAGGGCTTCACATCCATTGTTGATACAAAGTTGAATCCCCTTTGTTCAAAGATGCTTCATAATAAATCAGGTACGTTAAAATCACTTAACTCCACTGAAAGAATAAACTTCACTTGTATTTCCTCTATTGGGCTCCACCTCATTGCCCCCATGTGATTTATATAACCTTGAGATCCCTTGGTGTTAGACATATAACACCCATTTCAATGTCTGTTGTGTACAACAGACATTGAAATGGGTACACCAGACAATGAAATGGGTACAACTGTGACTTAAATAGGTACACCAGGCATTTAAGTTGATACACGAACTGTAAACTGGGGGCATCACCCTGGGACCAACTCCTGTATGAATGTGATTCCTGATTCATACAGGAGTTGTCCCAGGGTGATGCCAATATGGTCTAAATCACTTAACCTGTACTGAAGAAGTAGCTTTTAGATATGGAAGGTCACACTGTTCATTTATAAAATAATGAGACCCCTGGCCTAGGGATATCCTGACATCAATTGAAGTTAGCTTAAATCCTTTTATATTTACTTTAAGAGTAGGCACCTAAATATTTACTTTAAGAGTAGGCACCTAAATATTTACTCAATTTTCCCTATGATATAAAATTGAGTCTCCTTTGCCAACCATTCTGGACTCTTTTAAATGAAAAGTAGATAGATAATTGTCATGGTGTAAGCTCGTCTGTCTTTCGGGTAATTAACCTTACAATTGTGATTTGTTACCTCGTTAAGTCAGCCAATTCACTGTTGTAATTGATTACCTCATCAAGGTAGCCTCATGACAACTCTAAAAGAGCACTTGGTCAATTTACCGGAACTTATTAGCAAGATTTAAATTAGTTTGTCTCGTTACAGAGTAAATGGTTACCTCATCAAGCTAGTCACATTACTAGTGTAAATGGTTACCTCATCAAGCTAGTCACATTACTAGTGTAAATGGTTACCTCATCAAGCTAGTCACATTACTAGTGTAAATGGTTACCTCATCAAGCTAGTCACATTACTAGTGTAAATGGTTACCTCATCAAGCTAGTCACATTACTAGTGTAAATGGTTACCTCATCAAGCTAGTCACATTACTAGTGTAAATGGTTACCTCATCAAGCTAGTCACATTACTAGTGTAAATGGTTACCTCATCAAGCTAGTCACATTACTAGTGTAAATGGTTACCTCATCAAGCTAGTCACATTACTAGTGTAAATGGTTACCTCATCAAGCTAGTCACATTACTAGTGTAAATGGTTACCTCATCAAGCTAGTCACATTACTAGTGTAAATGGTTACCTCATCAAGCTAGTCACATTACTAGTGTAAATGGTTACCTCATCAAGCTAGTCACATTACTAGTGTAAATGGTTACCTCATCAAGCTAGTCACATTACTAGTGTAAATGGTTACCTCATCAAGCTAGTCACATTACTAGTGTAAATGGTTACCTCATCAAGCTAGTCACATTACTAGTGTAAATGGTTACCTCATCAAGCTAGTCACATTACTAGTGTAAATGGTTACCTCATCAAGCTAGTCACATTACTAGTGTAAATGGTTACCTCATCAAGCTAGTCACATTACTAGTGTAAATGGTTACCTCATCAAGCTAGTCACATTACTAGTGTAAATGGTTACCTCATCAAGCTAGCCAAATTGCCAGCTGTCACTTCCTCTCGCTCCTTCATCTCAGCATACCGTTCCCGCAGTGTCTGTGGTTTATTATTCTGACTTTGTACATGCTCATCTTGAAGTTCCTTATGTCGTTGTTTCAGGGATTTTGTACGAGAACGTTGTTGAAATCGTAGACTTGGTAACATGTTGGACTCCTCCTCATCCCAGTCTTCATATTGACCATCTTGACCGTGATGACGCGACGACTTTCGTCTTCGTACCAGTGTAGCTCCCCCTTCACTGCTAGAATAACGTGAGTTTGGATGCCCCATATGACTTTCAAAGTCACCATTATCGGACCTAAAATGTTAATTAAACCATAATATAAATGTTGATAGAAATACTTACTTATTTAGGCATTTTAATATCTTTAAGATCGTAGAAAAACCTAACATTTAAAAGCATATTTTTTCTTGAATGTAAAAGTACATATTCACAGTTGAATCTTGTCAATCTATTCACAACTAATCTGGCTTTCCCACTTGCAAGCCATTTGCCAGTAAATCAGATTCCTGTCCGTGTTCAGTGAGACTAGGTAAATCAGTTTCCTGTCCCCCTGATCAGTGAGACTTGGTAAATCAGTTTCCTGTCCCCTGATTAGTGAGACCAGGTAAATCAGTTTCCTGTCCCCTGACCAGTGAGACCAGTAAATCAGATTCCTGTCCCCTGATCAGTGAGACCAGGTAAATCAGTTTCCTGTCCCCTGATCAGTGAGACCAGGTAAATCAGTTTCCTGTCCCCTGATCAGTGAGACCAGGTAAATCAGTTTCCTGTCCCCGATCAGCGAGACCAGGTAAATCAGTTTGCTGTCCCCTGACCAGTGAGACCAGGTAAATCAGTTTCCTGTCCCCTGACCAGTGAGACCAGGTAAATCAGTTTCCTTTCTCCTGACAAGTGAGACCAGGTAAATCAGTTTCCTGTCCCCTGATCAGTGAGACTAGGTAAATCAGTTTGCTTTCCCCTGACCAGTGAGACCAGGTAAATCAGCTTGCTACTGTAATCTATCTTGTCTTATCCATATTACTGTACTACCTGCTTTTAAACTAGTGCTTACCTGTATCTGCTGCCATCTGCATCTTGTTGACTGTTTACATGAAATGTAGGATCTATAGCTACTCCTGTAAAGTCTTGTCTCCTGTCCATGTTTTCTTGTTTCTGGTGTGCTGATTCTAGAAACATTCGGGGAAAAAATGCACATGAGGTATGGGTGATCATTAATATTAGACACCATGACAGGTGTGGTAGGGGTGATCATCAATACAGATGGTGTAAGGGTGATCATCAATACAGGTGGTGTAAGGGTAATCATCAATACAGGTGGTGTAGGGGTGATCATCAGTACAGGTGTGGTAAGGGTGATCATCAATACAGGTGTGGTAAGGGTGATCATCAATACAGGTGTGGTAAGGGTAATCATCAATACAAGTGTGGTAGGGGTGATCATCAGTACAGGTGTGGTGTAGGGGTGATCATCAATACAGATGTGGCGTAGGGGTTATCATCAATACAGGTGTGGTAAGGGTAATCATCAATACAAATGTGGTGTAGGGGTGATCATCAATACAGGTGGTGTAAGGGTAATCATCAATACAGATGTGGTAGGGGTGATCATTAATACAGGTGGTGTAACCGCGTTAAGGGTGATCATCAAAACAGGTGTCGTATGGTGTTGTGATCATGTTGTCTGATTATGTACCAGGCATGTAAACACGGTGGTCTATATATATAATATACAGTGCTACAGTATATGTACCTTAACTGTCAGTCTAAGGCTATGATTAAGTCAAAAACACACTGAAAAATACAGGACATCAAACTGTACAACCTGTATCGGGATCAACCATCAAGGGAGACGTCTCTCCTGCCTCCCAAGTTCCCCTTTCAGCCATTGTTTACAGTTTCATGACCTCAATATTAATACACACAAGCTATTTCCAGTCGATCAACTGAACTAATATACATACATACACATACATGTACACAAGTTCATTGTAAAAAAAAAATCAAAAAATCTTTAGTCTGATAATTACATAGCATTCTTGTCTACCAAAAGGAAGATAAAATTCTATCTTGTCTTGTACAAATATAAAATCGTATAAACTATAAAGTCAAGTACACCAATAAAGGCAGCTAAGACTTAGTACCTGTTAGTCAAAAGTGTTTGTATGTGTACATGTATAACAACTGCTGTCGTCTACATAAAGACGCAGGTCATTCTGAAATATCCTTATTAAATTCATCTACCAAGTATCTAATACATATCACTGCATTTTCTGCATCATGCAAACAAAGATTTTATATTACAATATCTTTATCTAATTAAAAATTATAATATTAACTAATTTAGATAGTTTTATATTTGACAAAAGAACCTTACTACTATATCTTAACAAGATAATTGGATATGAACATTTTTGGATTATACAAATTAATATTTCCATCGTTCTTAATATAAACATACATATTTTGTTTATCTCTAAAAGAGCTTAATAAGGTCTATAAGAGAAATATATACAAGTTAAACTAAACAAAGTTGTGTCATTTTAAGAACTTGAATCCAAACACTTCCCCGGTACATATTTAGACTGGTGATTGACTCAGTACACTTGCAGAGTTTCCAGTAAATATATTAAAACACAATATGTTTGGGGAAAAATTGCAAATATACAAGTAATAAAATAGAAAAGTATAAGATGAAAAATATTCAGTTTTATAGATCTTAAAATATTCAAAATTCAAGCATGCCCTAAAGCAAAAATTATTTATGAAATTATTTATCTCCTTATATAGTGTTAATCCCCACCGTAAACCAAGTTTTAAAAATGCTTATATTTCTGTGTTATCATTTTTTACTAAAACAAATACTGTTGCCATGATTTTCATAGAGGAACGTTAACAAGCTCAGGTATTTTCCATCAGAAAATTCACTCAGAAAATTCTCTTTCCAATTTAAATGATGCACTTAGAGGCAGGTGATATCTGGACAGGTGGTGTTTGGTCACTACATCCATGTAATACTTAAGACTCAGTAGACAACAGTTTTTTAGTTCCTTTAGACAGGTATTTTAGGGTCTCTCTCAAAACAGGTCGGTAGTCTCTCTAGCCATGTGTAACCTGGTCTGTCCAGAATGATGACATTTTGTACATCTAGACAAATGATATACTCTCACCCTAGACAAGTTCTCTTGTAATTATAGCCTCTGATCTCTTAAGACTGTGAAATTTCAGTCTTTGCTGACAGGTGTAAATTGTTCCAAATCAGTTTCACATTAAGAAACACAATTTACTGATACTTAAAAATCGATATCCTTTCCTATGAACACAGAGATTGTCCCATGTCGGTCAAACCATCTCTCTGTATAGATATCTTGGCCCTGACCACCAATAGTATAAAACATGTTACATCACATTCTTCACTCTGTATATGGACAGTCTCCCAGGCAACACAAATATGGGGATTCGGAAAAAAAATTCTCACTTAAAATCTACCACACAGTAAAGTTGTATAGCTGACTAGCCCAACACACCAATTTACCTGTTAACAGTGGCCAAGTTTCCCTGACAACCACCTAGCTGTTGTTTTTCAGATTTTATACACAAATATTGATTAGTTCCCCCACCTGGGACACTGTTTGGCCACATTACCATAATAACACTGGATAAAACACAGCAATGATAAGGTATCCTGTACGGAAGAGTGAACAGCTGTAACTCATGCCTGTGAGTATATTTTGCTTTTGGTTTGTTTAAGTTTTAAGTTTTTAAGTTAAACTTAAACTTAAAAACTGCTTTTGGTTTGGTTTTATCAGGTTTAATGTCCTGTTAACCCTTTCACCACTATAGACCATAATAGACTTAGCCAGATCAATGCATTGTAGACTTTTTTAAAGTTACATAGGGGTGAAAGGGTTAACTCATTCACCCCTGAAATTTCATAATAAACTATTCCAACCTTTGATTTGAAAGAGTTCATATGTGTTTTCAGGGGTGAATGAGTTAACAGCGGATGTGCAATTGTATACTTAATACAGGTTAATTGCCTAAAGGTCGAGGCCAGACCATACAATATATCCAATTTTGATGCTTAGGCATGAAGGCATTCATTTTTTTTGTTATATGCTATCAAACTTAATTGATGGATGCATAATGAGTAAATTGTGTGTCAAGTACTAAACTCATGTTTCTTCCCTCAAGGACGAGGTCACAAGGAGTTGAAGGTCAAGTCATAACGTAAAACAAAAAGTGGTAGACAGCTGGCTATAGCAATGTCCAAGTTATACACATGCAAGTAACAATATTGTTTTACAAAATGTTATAGAATTTACATGAACACATAAAAATATTCTATTATGCAAATATGCAATACATGTTCATATGGGTACCATAATATCAATCTTAAAAAATGCTAACTCCTTACAATTGTGTAGTTAATTACGGTAAATTAGTCAGGAGTGATGGAATCAAAAGACCTGTTAACATGTAGCGCCTATTGTACATTATTTACAGTACTGTAGTTACAGTACTGCACTTTGATTACTGTATTGATTTTCTTTACATACTTCACTCTATAATGTACATTTACTGCCTTGCTTAACCTCATGGATGTTTGATCTCTCCTGTACCTAATCAATTAAGTAACGCATTCAAAGAGTGTTTATACATTTATATATAGATACTACTGGTCTTAAAAAATTTAGCGATGAGACAGGGCCTAAAAGTGAGAAATGTTGGCCTAGACATTGATTAGACTAAGTCTAGCCAATATATTAGTTAGAAAGGGGGCTAAACTAGAGTGAATAGAAAGGTCCTACACCATAGTATAGGGTGACTTAAGAGAGTCTAGATAATAACGGTGTAAAGACAGGTCCTAGACTATAGTGGTTAAACAGGGCCTAGATTACAATGGTGTACAGATAGGTCCTAGACTTAAGTGGTTAAACAGACCTAGACTATAATGGTGTACAGATAGGTCCTAGTCTAAAGTGCTTAAACAGACCTAGATTATAACGGTGTACAGATAGGTCCTAGTCTAAAGTGCTTAAACAGACCTAGATTATAATGGTGTACAAACAAGTCCTAGACTATAGTGGTTAAATAGGGCCTAGATTATAATAGTGTATAGACAGGACCTAGACTACAGTGGTAAAACAGGGCCTAGAAAATAATGGTGTATAGACAGGTCCTAGACTATAGCGGTTAAACAGGGCCTAGATAATAATGGTGGGTCCTAGACTAAAGGGGTTAAACAGGGCCTAGATTACAATGGTGTACGGATAGGTCCTAGACTTAAGTGGTTAAACAGACCTAAATTATAATGGTGTACAGATAGGACCTAGACTAAAGTGGTTAAGCAGACCTAGATTATAATGGCGTACAGATAGGTCCTAGACTTAAGTGGTTAAACAGACCTAAATTATAATGGTGTACAGATAGGACCTAGACTAAAGTGGTTAAACAAGGCCTAGATTATAGTGGTATACAGACACGACTAGACTATAGTAGTTTTATAGGGCCTAGATTATAATGATGTACAGATAGGTCCTAGACTTAAGTGGTTAAACAGACCTAGATAATAATGGTGTACAAACAAGTCCTAGACTATAGTGGTTAAATAGGGCCTAGATTATAATAGTGTATAGACAGGCCCTAGACTACAGTGGTAAAACAGGCCCTAGATAATAATGGTGTACAAACAAGTCCTAGACTATAGTGGTTAAATAGGGCCTAGATTATAATGATGTATAGATAGGTCCTAGACTTAAGTGGTTAAACAGACCTAAATTATAATGGTGTACAGATAGGTCCTAGTCTAAAGTGGTTAAACAGACCTAAATTATAATGGTGTACAGATAGGTCCTAGACTTAAGTGGTTAAACAGACCTAAATTATAATGGTGTACAGATAGGACCTAGACTAAAGTGGTTAAGCAGACCTAGATTATAATGGCGTACAGATAGGTCCTAGACTTAAGTGGTTAAACAGACCTAAATTATAATGGTGTACAGATAGGTCCTAGACTAAAGTGGTTAAACAGGGCCTAGATAATAATGGTGGGTCCTAGACTAAAGTGGTTAAACAGGGCCTAGATTATAGTGGTATACAGACACGTCTAGACTATAGTAGTTTTATAGGGCCTAGATTATAATAGTGTATAGACAGGTCCTAGACTACAGTGGTAAAACAGGGCCTAGATAATAATGGTGTATAGACAGGTCCTAGACTACAGTGGTAAAACAGGGCCTAGATAATATCATATATTATAGATTATAAAAAACTGTGGTTAGACAGGTTCTAGACTACATATGATTCTATGCTCCTCATATGAAAACAGGTAAATTGCTATTTGCCTGTGTGGCAGGCAATTAGTTCGAGTATACAAGCAGTACTTGTAAGAAGAGATAGGAAGCAGGCAGCAATCTGTGATAGGGTTGAGACATCAAGCAATTTTCTAATACACTTTGTACATTGAAGTCTCCAAAATTTAATTTTTCGTTAAATTTACTATTTTTTCTATTGTCAAACGAATACATTATTCAGGTTGTTGTCCTTTTTTATGGAGTTAGAACTATTTGAAATGATTTCCAGTGATGTTGCCTGAAAGTATTCACAAAACAAATATCATGACTAGTAGTGTTGTACAGATATAAACCTCAGTTCTTTATAAACAAGAGCTCCAGGGATTGAATCCCCTGGCAGATATGTTTTTATTATAAAAGAAGGATATTATAATAGATATCTTTCTTTCACATACCCTTTATACTAAATCAGCAAAGCAACTCCAAGTTAGAAAAATGCCAAATAAATCGGAAGTCTTCTTTGTAGGAGATACAACACTATGTCTCTCTACCTTAACAAAATGTGAGGGACTTGGGATTCAAGCCTATAGGGAACTCCAAACTTCAGATGGCTATTCCACCAAATGAGTTAATCACTGCATGATCATTACCTATACTAATTATATCAAAACATGTTAGGATGTAGCTATTCACACCAGTTATTATCAAAGGCAGTAATACACAATCAGGATGATATTAAGTTCAATCCAGATAAGATCATGATAAGGAGGTTTTATTCTGGATGACTATTATATATGGTTCCTGTGACCTTAGCTTGGTTCCCTAATTACAGTTGATTAATTATACATAATTAAATCACAGAATGTACATGAATTTAAAAAACAGTGTGATCTGGGATGAGTTTGACGTACATGCCTATAGTGTTGGACTGATGATGTGTATACCATTTGCTCTGTGAACAGGACTTTAACTATTTATCATTTTTATTACCATAACTTACCAGCTCATAAAACTAACTAACCAACACATCCTTTTAGGAGCGGCTTTTAATTTCAGCGAGTATCAACACTTTGTTCTCTTCCTTGTACAGTGACTAGCTGTCACCCTTTTCTGAAGACCATGTTATTTATGTTTTGTTCACAAACCGTTTTGTTTAAATCCCTGACAAATAGAGTTCAAATAAACCAGAAGTCTCCTTAATTAATGTCATTTCATTAAGAATACTTAGGAATTTCATTCGAAATCCATTATACATATGATTCAGCATTCTAGAGCCAGATGATTTAAATCTGTAAAAGAAAAATTCATAATGTTATGATCTACTGATCATTTTCTTATATATATAAGGTTCAGAGAAGTAATGTAAATTAATCTGTCCAGTCTAAGTGCCTTTCACTACATACAGAGCAGAGCTTTTTAAATTCCATAGTTTATGATGAATCTAAATGGATACCTTTTCCATACATTAATGTATGGCTGATCATCGATATACCCAGTGTACACATCACTGAGTTTAGGTAAGGAATATACAGGTATACTTACCTACAGATGTTTGTATACACCAGGTAAAAATCCACAGGTAATTTATTCACCACCTGTACTCATCAAACTTCCATATCTGATATCTGATTCACATAATTAAAATGTTACCATAATGAAGTATATAGCAGAGACTGATGCCTCACAAGTCATATCACACATTTAAGCCTCTGATGTATACAAGTAATATGTACGTTGTACAGGTGTGCTGCACATGTGAGAGTATATGCTAAGTAACTGCGCCACTATAGCTCTATAAGCAGCTGACACCCCCAATGCCTATTTTGAGGAACCAATCCTTTCCATGTACACGATAATTTGATCACCCTGGTATTCAAACGTTTACAGCCTCTTGGTATTTGCATGTGTGGAGTTTACCTGAAAGGTGTACTGGGTCAGACTTCATTGTACATGTACAGTATGTGTAGCTTGGGTGGGTCTATTGTCCTCAACAAGCTAAGCTAGCCATTGGAAGAATGAATTATTTTCTATTTTTAGACACATGGCATGACCAAACATCACAGGTTCAAGTTCTTTAGGTAGATTTACACATTTCACTTGATCTTGATTTCACATCAGATATAGTAGAATTACATGGCTGAATCATAAAAGGATCATAAAGTACACTCACATGCAACCAGTGTAAGTTATACAAGTTATAAACTATACTGGTATATAACAACATTTCTACACAAATAATCTGTGTCTATTGAAAAGAAAAGAGATAAAAGTCATATCTGAACAGGAGGACCAGAGGGCCTGTATCGCTCACCTAGATATTTAAGCAATAATAGAAAAATATTCTCTTTTAAAGCACATAAGGCTCCGGGGTATGGGGCCAGACCCTGGTGCTAATAGTTATTGTGACAATTATATGTCTAAATATATGTCAATTCATACCCAGGTATATGTTATAGAGTGGTGATCTCAACAGTCTCAAAGTTTTGAACCAAGAACTTAGTCGGAAGGGATGTGTGCACTCATCAAGAATTTCTGACATCGTCATAGGTTGGGCATCACAGCCATTTCTATGTCATGACCAAAGGAATAAGTCCCCAGAGACAGGGGAAAACCTGGAACCAATTCTGAGAGCATGGTTGTGTTTGTTTCATATTAACAAGAAGATGTCAAACACTTCTTAATTCTGACCCAGGGACTATTAATATAAGTTACCAAAGGATCCTGAATTCAATCTCGGTATGATATATGTATTCTTCTCCCCATGCCCAGCAATTGCATACATGATTAATGGGTGAGGATCTCATTCATTTTCAAGTTACAACCCCTTTTTGGCCCGGTCACTCAGCCTTCTGGGGGTTATCCCCTCATTTGTGCATGTATTTTTCAATCAGCATCCCCCAAGGATGATATCCATCTAATAGTTCTAGAGGAGAAATTGCAACAAGGCCAATTTCTCTTTTGTTCTGGCCATGCATGTCCTCAACCCCTGGGGATGTCAGCCCAGCCATTATCCCCACCAGGTGAACATGCTTTCAACCGCATACATGTGTGTTCAATATCCATCACATAGGTATACAGACAAATCTGTTTAAACAATATGGTAATTTTGCTCTTTTATTTGCAGGTCCCATCCTTCAGACAGCCAGGGGTTATAGCCTCACCTTTTGTACAATTTACACACACTTCACTGGTTGTGCTATATGAACCCGTTTACAATCCAAGTGTGCTAACAATACATATTACATATAATCTTGATATACCTCCACAATTTGTCGAGGACAATTTTGGCATTACAAAGTGTTTGGTAATATATCAAAGGAGACTTTGACATATAAGGGAATCATTCTAAAAATAAGAAAAGGGGACAATTATTGAAATGTATTTGCATAAAGCTAGTTGCCAAATGAAAAGAGAGACATGATAACGAGGTTTTAACTGTGTATAATATTTTAATTACTAGTAATGCCAGTTGTCTTATAAGTAACACCATGCTTATGATGGAATCAATGATCATAATTCAGGATGTTTTAAAAGGCCTGTTGTAGCACATTTTTGAAGATTTTCAAGATTTCATATTTCCCTGGGTTTGTCCCAATTTATAAAATATCTGGTGAATGTTACTCTAGTGGTACAACCAGTTTTCAGGCCATGCAATACAAGGTAATGTACTTCACACTGTATCGCAGTAGCTCATCTCCTTTTTGGCTGGAACTTATCCCCTCATCTAACTGACAATTTGAAACAATAATAAGTTTTTATCATTATAGCGCAATTTTCACTATGGTTACCCTGATGTTAAGATTCCATACCCGACATCATTTTGTCCACCGTTGTTTTTTGGTTCAAGTTTCTGAGAAGAAAACTGAACATATAAACAAAGGGGTAATGATGAGTTATGCTTTGTAGAAATATTATATGCATATGAAGAACAATTGTAGGTTTATAATAAAAGCAATACTACATGTGTTCATCCGACATCTCAAGTGGCCCTTGTGTATTACACAAATGGATATACCCTAAAGAAATATATCCATGCATGCAATGCACTCATGCAATCTGAGACATCAGATGAACATATGTATGGGATATACATGTATTGCATGTTTATCACCCTCGAGTCCCAGTATAAACCAATCAAAGATGCAGAACATCAACATTTGCAACCTCTTACAGACTTTGCATAAAACCTCACCCTTCAATCCCCCTTTTTTTAATGTAGAAATTAAAGTGAACAGATGGACACTGCACCATGGCAAAATCTCATTTGGCCTTCCAGGCCTCTTCATCAGCATTTTCTGGGCAGTTGAGCTAAAAAAAAAATAGGAGCCAATATATAGGCTCCAAATGTTGACATGTCCTGAAATTTGATATTTATCTCCCCATACAGACTAACCAGATAAACATGCAAATAAACAAAATAATTGCTCTTAAAACTTTATTGTCAAAATCTCGCATGTATTTCTACACCTGTCAAATTATTTAAGCACAACATTTTTCTTAGACTCCATTAAGCAGAGTTGATTGTTTTTCAAGCCAGAGACTATATCTAATTTCATGTCTGAATGTCTATACAACATGTACATTTTTTCTGTACATGATCTTTATTCTGTGAAAGAACTTGAAGAACTCCTGGATTAAGCAATTGTATGAGAAGATTTTATTATAGTATCCCATTTACAAACAAGTATCACAGGTGGAGAACAATATATGCCTGTTACCACTTACATCTTATATCTAGGGATATCAGAAATCTGTAGACATTGAAGGTTTAAGAAAAGATTTCTAAAATCTCCAGCCTTGATCATAAATGTAGGTTGGAAACTGCATGATTTATGAAATCTGTATCCATTTTTACTAAAGGATGTAAAATATGTAATCATTGTTATCAGTGGAAATTAGAAAAGCTTGTCTAAAATTTGTGACCTATTTTGCAAATTGGTTTTGAGAAAATGAGGTTTCTAAATGATTAAACTATCTTTTATAAAATTCTGATTGTCCTTTAGGGAATGACATATACCTGTTTTTGCCTTTTTCTTGGAACAAATAATGACAGATAGTAGTGATAGATGGATGACATACCATACAGTAAGCTCACAAGCACTTTGTGCCAGATGAGCCAATAATAACTTATTTTCTACCAATTCAACTGACTGGTCACCACAGTCAACAGTATGAGGGACATTCAATACATTCTGTCACTCCTGTCAGGAATCACATGTATGATAAATATAGTTTGGTCTTTCTATTACAATCCTTCGAAGTATCCCCACTTAGCAGAAATACACTTTAGCAATCACGCTATCCATGTGGTAATTGCTGCATGTTGGTATGGTGACAGAAATTTTTGAATGGCTCATACATAAAGATCAGCTTAGCACACTGCCTCCCTCCTTTTCATTGCTCAAATAATTACAATATCTGAATTATCACAACTCATATTGGGATTTCCAGGTATGGAATCAGACACAGAGTCAATTTACAGGGTGGTAAATATTATACTGAATAAAACTCAGTTTATATCACATGGTATCCAGATTATAAATCTTTGATCACAATTTCTCTGAATTGTTCAAATCGTTGAACTGCCAATTCATCAATATCCATGCGTCCATGTGTTGCACTACGTGATACCCTCATCCATTATTTGCACCCCCTGTGTCCATGTGTTGCACTATGTGATACCCTACATCTATTAGTGGCGCCCCCTGTGTCCATGTGTTGCACTATGTGATACCCTTCATCCATTAGTGGCGCCCCCTGTGTCCATGTGTTGCACTATTTGATACTCTTCATCCATTATTTGCACCCCCTGTGTTCATGTGTTGCACTATGTGATACCTTTCATCCATTAGTGGCACCCCCTGTGTTCATGTGTTGCACTATGTGATACCCTTCATCCATTATTTGCACCCCCTGTGTTCATGTGTTGCACTATGTGATGCCCTTCATCCATTAGTGGCGCCCCCTGTGTTCATGTGTTCCACTATTTGATCCCCTCATCCATTAGTGGCGCCCCCTGTGTTCATGTGTTGCACTTTGTGATACCCTTCATCCATTAGTGGCGCCCCCTGTGTTCATGTGTTGCACTACGTGATACCCTTCATCCATTAGTGGCGCCCCCTGTGTCCATGTGTTGCACTATCTCATTGACACGTGCCAACAGGAACTGCTTATCACGCCCCTCCTGTAGGGAAAGAGGTGACACCAATAAAACACATTAAATATACACTTTTTTGGTGAGTTCATATCACCCACAATTATTCCCCTTTCCAACAATTCACATTTAGTTTGGCAATCATTTTAGACACTATAGCTACCAGCCATACCTTATACCATTGATATAAGTGTTCCTGCTCCAATATATTCTTATCTGGCAAACTAAATTTTCTTTATCATAATTTGATAACACTTTTATTATCATAAGTCTGATTTTGATCTAAAATTATCTAATTACACAGAGTGAAATATTTTAAACTGAATAAATGGAAATAATGCTGATATATATAAGTACTTACCAATTTCAATTGTTCCTGAAGCATTTTCTCCATCTTTGTTAGTCCCTCCTTGACCGCCCAGTAGTAATACATGATTAAGCTGGAAAGTATTTAACAGATTGAATATCATAGACTGAACAAAATCTAAGACAAAAACTGAAAGTTAAGAATTGGCCTTCATCTAGAGCAAATAAACATTTGTGATAAAAAAACACTACTTCTGACGCTGATGATTTCACATTTGAAAAGATTTGTATTAGCTTAAAAATTTAACAAATACTTTGGAACATGCATGCCTACATATCATAATTTTTAAGTATCAATAAGTGTCAACCTTCTGCCCTACCCATTGCCCAATAAGATACTCATAAATACTCATAGCCTAACAGTGACACAGGCTTTATACTGAATGTGTAGCTTTCCTGAAAACTTTAAATGAAGGCCAAGGCATAATTCCTTAACAGGGGATAAATTGAACTTGGAATGCAGGGACACAATTACATGATATACTGGTCATGTGTACAAATTAAGCTTTAATTGAAATTAATCTTAAACAGATTTTTTAATTAAGGGCAATAACTCGCTAAAAAAATGCAGAAACTGAAGTTTAAAAGCAGATGGCTTTACAGTACATATTACATGTAATGTGTGCAAAGTTTCTTTCAATTAAGTTAAGAAATGATGTCAGGAATCCTTCCCATTTAGAGACAGATAGACAGACGGATTCCCCCTATTTCAACTTTATTGTGGGGATAACCACCATTATGATTATCATCACTGATCATCATCAGTTATAAAGCAAAATAAGTTGTGATTCATGTAACAGAGGTCCTTTTATTCAGTGACATCTACTTCAAGTAGACAGTGGGTTTATTATTACGATAAATATAATGTGATATAACTCACAGTGGGTTTATTATTATGATAAATATAATGTGATATAATTCACAGTGGGTTTTTTTATCTAAATTTTACAACAGCCTGTTCCTTTATGAATTAAGAAAATTCAGCATTAATTTTATTGAAATTGGGAATATATCCCTCATTTTTTTGTCATTTTGGGAAAATAAGGCACTTTTCAGCTAGGGGAAGCAGCCTGCATTTGGCTGTTAAATTGAGCAAAAGAAATCACTGATTCATATACCGGTAGTTAATCACAATGACAGAGTCAGGATGATTATCTCCCCTGATGCAATTTCTCTGTTCAGTCTACAGCTTACTTGGATTAACTACAGTACTATAAAAAAAACATGTCATGCTATCATTACTCACCACATCACTAGTATTGCTGGTATAAAGAAATTGGTCTTGCCAAGGAAGAAAAACACATCCTGAGCCTCTTGAGGCCATTCCAAGATAACATGTGCCACGGTGTCAAAGAATACAGTATGGTTGGTGGCGTATACACGGAATGGGCCACAGCTCTGGGAAGGGTTAAAGCTGTCACATGAAAACAAAAGACCATTAATATTAACTGCAATTGCAACAAATCCCATTTTCACTGAGCTTGTTTTTTTTTTTTTTACTGGGATCAATTCTTTATCAGTGAGCTTGGAAAACACCTGACAGATTCAGATGTGGAATTTTTGAATCCACTGATAGTTTTGAACCTCTGGACAGAAAAAAATGACAGCGTCAAAATGTTCTGGTATATCATAATGTATATGCATCTGAGTTAAAATCTTATGTCTGTTAATGTATTTATGGTTAATGCAAATGGTTTAACATGTAATATAATGCAAATCTAAAGGTGTAATATGTACAAAGGACATTACACTAGACGACTAAATATATCATAGGATGTATCTTATTACTACAAAAACATTTATAAATCAATATCATTTCATGATTATGCTAAATATGGGACATTGAATTTTGAGCCAGTGACTTCAGCTTGATTGTGGCATTTATAGCTAAATACTCTACATCTGTCCTGTAACAGGGCCTGGGAATAGAATTGAAGCCTACAAAATATTTGTTGGATGTATAGATGAGGAGACGTACTTGCCAACCATGTAGGTGATGGGGATGGCTGCCATCAGGAAGGAGATGAAGAGCATGCCTATGAAGAGGGAGTTGGAATGTGTTGTTCTGTAAGGACGAGTGGGAGCCACGTAGTTGTTTAACAGAGTAAACTGTAACATATCATTCAGGAGCCATATAATAGAATTTAACATAATATTTAGGAACCTAAAGTAAAAATGTGACATAATATATATAAAAGGAACAACATTTTAAAACTGTACGTGACATACATGTACTACAAATAAATAGTCTGAATCTCATTGTATCTCTGTAGCAAGATATCTGTAGTATTTAACTTAATTAGAGTTCACATTATCAGCTTATATAAACTGACCATCTAACATATAAACAAATTAATGATAAGGATTTTTGAGAGAAAAAAAGACAAGGCTCACCTTTTTGACATAAAACACAATAAAACACTTCAGGAAACACATGAATGGTATCAAAGGACTGAAGAAGAGACCCATCCTGAAACAAGTCGATCAATTCTTTTTTAGCTTTTCACCCTCAATTTATCTAGAGTTACTATGAGCACCTTTTAGTATAAATGATCTCTCCATACAGGTAGAGGTTGGTTATAAGTGTGTAATATTGAAAAATTTGTTATGACTCCTAAACATTTTTTGAGAATTCTGCTCAGGAAAATGAGTTCAACCTTATATTTCTATCTAAAGAAATGTGACAATAGAGGTAGACTTGAGTATCATACTAGTATATTTTATGTAAGCTGTCTGTATGCTGAGATAAATCCATACTGGATACAAATATAACAACTCATTAACTTTAATTTCAAGATTATTAACAAGTATCAACTTACCAACAAAGAGTTTGTGCATAAACAATATCTAGAACCACCTTGGGTAGATCTACTTCAGGCAAGCCCACCATGTCGATCAGTTTGAACCTCTTACTGAATGTATTGTACACTAGCCTAAAAACATATTGGGAATTGAAAAGTTTTTTCAATAGATCTTTTTAAAGGAAGGTCAGGTTTTTTAATGTAGATGATGGATTCATTAATATAAAATTTCCAGAATAATTTTCAGGAAAATGTGATTTTGTCTTTTTGTAAATCAAATCTAAATATCATATATATGGGTTATTAAAATAAACATGTATATATTTAAGTATATCAGAACAACTTTTATAAACATCTATATTTGTTTCAACTTATTTCTATTATTAATAAATTGGAATTCAGTTGTGAGTATTTTGAGAAAATGCATTTTACACCTGAACAACAGTCCAAGGGAAAGTACTCTTACTATAAAAAATATTTCAAACAAAAACAGAAGGAATTGAGTTAAAAACAAACCTATACAAATTTTGAAGTTTGTGTTTTGAGGACATAGTTCTAATAAAGTAAGTTAATAAAATAAATCTTACCTTCTTGGAAGCTCGACGATGAAGGTGACAATGATGAGGACAAGGAAGTCGAGGATAACCAGTTTGTAGATCTGCTGTCCAACATAAGTCTCCCAACACTGACAACACAATAAGGTTGAATCAGATAAATATATCACAGGACTAACAAGAGTACTTTCGACCTTGTAACATACCTATCAAACATAAATAACCCCTGTAAGTTGAACTCTATAAGATCAGAAAAAAATGAAATAGTTTATGTTGAAAATAAAGTGTTGATCACCTTTCTTTTCTTATACATTCAACTCTGACCTGTAATAAGCATTAAGGCCTTTCAAACAATGGATCACAATTACTTCAATCCTATTCAAGATAATTTTATTAAATCAAATTATTTAACATGCATGTTTTCATTAAATGGAGAAGGTTTAGGTAAGGCTGGAAGGACAGAAGCTTGGGAATATCAGCTGCCCACTTGAGGATGAAGGATTGACAGATGAGGATTAATTGACATGATAGATGGAGAGAAAAGAATAATAGAGGAGACATGTCTGGAAAGAAAAGGAATAGAGAGTGTATGATATATAATAGAAAAGATATCTTAAGATATATGTATAGCACCAGAGAACTAATTGAGAGAGAACCATGAAAAAAGGTCCAACAACTCACTAATGACTACAGTACTGCGGTTAACAAGAAGAATACCAGGTAAGTAGAGACTACCTTGATGATACTGCCAGCTGAGACATTGGTGGAGGTGTTGGAGGCCAGGCTGGATGACCACCTCTTGTTGCCACACATGTATTCATACTGTGGATCATCACTTTGTAGGAGCTGATATATAGATATCAACAACACACCCAGGGAGGAGAGACGCAGCAGAATCGTTCTGTAGTCAAAGAACAAGAAATGAACTGGTCAAAAAAAAAGACATGTTAATATGTGGATGGTATTTTTCTGTTTATATTCCGTCTTGAATTTTATATTTGCAATACCTTCATCAAAAATCAAATATATCTCTCAAATAAGTCTTGAACTCTTTAAATATTATAAGACTCTATCATGCCCAGGGGTGTAGGATAGAGAAATTCCACTCAAGGTGTTTTTCAAATTTGGTAAAACCTGAGGCTGTGCGGAAATAAGATTAATTTTTCAACACAAACTCCGTTTGCAAATATAGGGTATACTTAATCTGACTGACTGATTCGTTTTCGCCTAAAAAGCTCATGGAGAAAATTGATATTTTTTAAAATGGTAGCCAGTCCAAACGCGTTTTCATGGTTTCTGAGTTTATTCTGGTAGTTGGAATGAGAGAAAGATACTCTTTCATACCCTGGGGTGTAGGATAGGGAAATTCCACCCTCGGGGGATTTTGGGTGGAATTTCCCTATCCTACACCCCTGGACATGAAAGAGTTTTATAATCTTACACACACGGAAATGAAAGAAATGATATTCCTAGATGAACTTTCTCATTATGACGACCATTAATCTGATCAACAATTAATCTGACCAACCTCAGGAGTGTCATGATCATCTCAAACGATGGCGTGTAATCCTCCAGAAGGACAACTTTCTTGAAGACAATTGGTACGATGATATTAAGGAGTGTGATTGTCACGGAGGGTATGTACTGGATAACAAACACGAGTGCTGGGGTCGTGTCATTGAACTGCTCTTGTAGCTAGAAAAAACATTCAAAATGAGTAACCATTGGTCCTATTGGAGGCTTGAATGTTTACTCTTAAAGGTTAGAAAAGTGCTTAAAATCTGTAGCCATTGGAAGTTTAAGAAAACATTTCTAAAATTTGGGTATGGTTACCAGGATTGAAAGTTAAAAGACAGCATGTGTAAAAAAAATTTAACTATTTATTAACTGGTTAAATCTGCAAGATTTGTAACCGTTGGAGTTTAGAAAAAAATGTCTTTAATCATTACCAATTGCTGCTATTGTTGTTCAGGAAACAGGTCTAAAACTTGTAACAAGATTTAATATTGCTATATTGCAGTTTAGTTTCTAGAGGTTTCTGGACTACCAAATTTGGCATTAAGAAATTCTGACTGTCTAGGGGAATGGCATTCTGCCCATCTCTACATCTTTCTTGTTTTCGCCTGTTCGTAATTTGACTCAAAGGAAAGAGGCAAAATTGAAGCAGATAGATATACATGTGTAGTTACTTTATCCTGTTCAGTCAGGAGCAAATATCACAAATTTATTTTTAACTTGGATGATTCAGGAGACAGTCAAGGATCTTGCGAACGAGACTAAGACAAACACCAGTTCATCAATTGTCACTTACCACGAGAAGTTGTGAAAAAGATAAATAGATGAGATATAAGGATCCTCCAAGTAAGAAAACCATTAGAATATTGATAACTGTTCGTAAAAGGTACAGCTTGATTTTGTCACCTGTCGTCCGGTTTTCCATCTTCCACATAAAACGCTGGATTTCCAAGTCTTTCTGCAATAAGGTATGGAAATGGGGACAGTTTTAAATAGTGAAGAAAAATCTTATACAAGTAAATATTATCATTGACTTTGTGCTAACAAATCCAAATTCATATTCTGTACTGTGTCACATGTTTTCCTCAAAAAGAAGTCACTACAGTACTGTAGACAATGAAGGGCACAAGACCAATTTAGTAGCAAACATGCTGGAACTAGGAGTAATACATTGAAAGAGTTTATAATAAGGGGAAAGTATACATGTAAAACTTATTTTAGATAGAATGTGAAATCAGCTATTTAGCTGACAGTATGTAGCTTGGTTTGTTATTCCCCTATAAGACTAATAAAGAAGACAGACCTTGAATTCTCCACTTATGTTGCTGTGCTTAGTTTTAGCAGCCTTGGCCTGTGAGATACAGAAGTCCCAGCCTGTCAGTACTTTGTTAGAGTACATGGCCATGGTGGCACCATGGATCACCGCCGTGTCCTTCAATCCCTTCGAGGAGCTGGTATACAAAACACATCACTGATAAAGTAACTTGTATATGACATTTGTCATCATTAATATTACATTATTGCTGTTGATGATAGATGTACATTGATTCTCATTTCTTGTCATACTTATAGTTCAGTCTTTCTTTTCCATCCATGAACTTTCAAGCCATTCTGATAAACCAATTAGATATGCTTGCAGCTACCTAAGGTATTTGGCGAAATGGGCATATCTCAATCATGTTACATAGAACACTACACATTCCAAGACCCATTTTCCATGGACCATTATTCAAATACAAGACTTAGATCAGAGCGAATGTAAGAACTTCAAGAAAACTTACTGAGAAAAGACATTGTTTGAAATTAATTCAATCTGAAACAGTGTATAGCCTATTTTACGAAACACTTGATCATGATCAATTTTCAAGGAGTATTGCAACCTTTTCCTGCAGCACTGTTAAACTGGGCTTTTGTTACCAACTATCAGTTTCTATACTTTCTTTCAAATATGTTTTTTTTGGTACTACCTAATTAAAATTCATCCCTAGCTGCCAAGTTTTCGACAAAGAAATGAAAATCATAAATGATCAAATGTAAGTCAAGTCTGGCCTTGAACTGCTGGTCGTTTCAGAATGTATTAAAATTGTTCAAGCCATCAAAATCAGTAGTATGACATATGAACTATAGCCTCAAAGTTTTAAGGTTGCTTCCTTTGGTTCAATTGGTAGAGCAGTGGACAGGAAAGATGGCTGTCGCTGATATGATCCCTGGAAGCACACTACTCTCTTCCTTGGTACACTATAAAAAGTTGATCCCTGGAAGCACACTACTCTCTTCCTTGTTACACTATAAAAAGTTGATCCCTGGCAGCACACTACTCTCTTCCTTGTTACACTATAAAAAGTTGATCCCTGGAAGCGCACTACTCTCTTCCTTGGTACACTATAAACAGTTGATCCCTGGAAGCACACTACTCTCTCCCTTGGTACACTATAAAAAGTTGTTCCCTGGAAGCCCACTACTCTCTTCCTTGGTACACTATAAACAGTTGATCCCTGGAAGCACACTACCCTCGTCGTGGGTACACTATAAAAAGTTGATCCCTGGCAGCACACTACTCTCTTCCTTGGTACACTATAAAAAGTTGCCCCCTGGAAGCACACTACTCTCTCCCTTGGTACACTATAAAAAGTTGTTCCCTGGAAGCCCACTACTCTCTTCCTTGGTACACTATAACCAGTTGATTCTTGGAAGCACACTACTCGCTTCCTTGGTACACTATAAAAATTTGATCCCTGGAAGCACACTACTCTCTTCATTGGTACACTATAAAAAGTTGCTCCATGGAAGCACACTACTCTCTTCATTGGTACACTATAAAAAGTTGATCCCTGGCAGCACACTACTCTCTTCCTTGTTACACTATAAAAAGTTGATCCCTGGCAGCACACTACTCTCTTCCTTGTTACACTATAAAAAGTTGATCCCTGGCAGCACACTACTCTCTTCCTTGTTACACTATAAAAAGTTGATCCCTGGCAGCACACTACTCTCTTCCTTGTTACACTATAAAAAGTTGATCCCTGGAAGCACCCTACTCTCTTCCTTGGTACACTATAAACAGTTGATCCCTGGAAGCACACTCCTCTCTTCCTTTGAACACTATAAAAAGTTGATCCCTGGAAGCGCACTACTCTCTTCCTTGGTACACTATAAAAGGTTGATCCCTGGAAGCACACTGCTCTCTTCCTTGGTACACTATAACAAGTTGCTCCATGGAAGCACACTACTCTCTTCATTGGTACACTATAAAAAGTTGATCCCTGGAAGCGCACTACTCTCTTCCTTGGTACACTATAAAAAGTTGATCCCTGGAAGCACACTGCTCTCTTCCTTGGTACACTATAAAAAGGTTGCCTTTTATGTACTAGTATGTCTTTTCTTAGGATTTTTTTCAAAGCTTTAAAAGGGTGGTTTTCAAACATTTTCAATGTTGAGATTAGCAGTGTGAATGTAGGAAATACCAAAATGTATGACAATCTGTACATGTCATAGAGGCCATTTGCAGGCTGTCCTGCACAATAGATCTAACTTACCAGGTATGAAAATTTCACAGACTTTTACAAACCATATCTCATTATTTCTATTTACAACTCAATCCTGTTTATAATGATAATTAATCATAACCATATAATGATATAATGTAAGTATATTTCTAGAACAGAGGTACCTACTTTTTGACAATGACAAAGAAGCTGATGATGAAGGAAACACCTGTGGCGAGGAGGTATGACAGCCCCATGTGGTAGGTCTCCCTTTCACCATGTATAGGACTAAGGTAGGTCTTGTTGAAAAAAGCCCCATAAAATAACACAGTGTCCTCCATCCAGCCCTGGCAAAACAATAATTTATATACAGCTACAACTGATTATGATACAATGATATACTAACAATGTTGTTTTATTTTTCTACATCTTCGATTTACCCAAAAATGTGCTATTTAGAAGTTACATGTAATAACGGCCTTTTTGAAGAAAACAATGGCAGGTAGGTGTTATAACTCATTTTACACTAGTATTACATAACCAAAGTATTTCTATCACTACTGATTCAACAGGTACTTGCATATAAAGTTCATGATCAAGTTTAGTCACTTTGCAGTCACTGTATACATGCTTTCCCCTTTTTGTTCCTGGTAGATATAGGTTGATGCGAGTGCAAGCAGCTGGATTTAGATAGTCATTTCATTTGTATCTGAGGTATCAAGCAATGTAACAAGCAATGTAAACTTTGCTACGGTATATATATTATAAGGATGCTAGAACCAGGTAACTGAGCATCAGAAGAGGAAGGCTTGGTTAATTAATATATTATTTGATATCATGTCTTGTGCATAGTTTTTGTTTGTTTTAAAACTCACAACATCCATTTATTAAAATCAAATTTAGGTAAGAACAGTATCAGCAGCATATAAAATCAAAAAAATGAACTTAATTCTGGCTGCTCAAAATTTAACTTAACTTTCTTACACATGTAGTGAGAAATTTGCTGCAGTATTTAGTGTCATGTAATTACAAATGTAGTTCATGTTTATTGCTATATCTAATCTAGGGATAAAGTAAACACTGCCATATCAAATCTAGGGATAAAGTAGCTTGAACAAAAAACTATAAACCACAGTAGTTTTGGAACATCAGATTTGTTATAACTAGCCTCTTGAAACTAACTCACCTAGTTAGGAGTATTGAATTTGCTTAAATGTATACATATTAGTACAGTACATTTCACTTAATATCACGTCCGTTAATGTCACTTTTCGGTTATTATCATGTTTTTCTGATGCACCGTTTTTCCTGCTATATAATCTATGCAATTCAATTCTTTTATTATCACCTGATACTACTAACTATATTTTTTGTTTGACTTATGCTTAATTCACCCTGTCATTTGGGGCTGACTGTATATTTTCTGTTTTACTTGATATCATTACAGAAAAAGACAAACACTCACAGTGCCCTGTAAAAAGTGAAGGATATCGCTGAACACATCAGGGCCCGCAGATCTCACATCATTGAGTTCCTCCTTGTAGCCATGGGTACAGTCCACAGCCTCCGCCTGAAAGAATGTGGTGTTCAGTCCTATCAAGGAGGAGGTGAAGTTACTTGGAGACTTGTACAAAGCAAAATAGGGCACAAGGGTCAGACAGATGTTCACCAGACAGATGTACATGTTCAGGAACATGAGCCAGCGAACAAACCGGAAATAGCCCATGATGGCAGTCCCAAACTGACCTGTAAAAGAACAACATTACATAGCCGAGTCCCTATATACATATGTATATGTAAATATCTATGAAATTTTACCAGTCTAAGAGCCTATTGTGGGTAGCCACACCTATCAATACCAGATAGACTAAAGCAGCAGTACTCAGTGACCACTCAGCGACTGTAATGGGTAGAATATATTGGCATACAGTACTAGAGACAGCTGGGCCTATCATGGGTAGAACATATCAGCATGCAGTACTAGACACTGCTGGGCCTATCATGGGTAGAACATATCAGCATGCAGTAATAGAGACTGCTGGGCCTATCATGGGTAGAACATATCAGCAAGCAGTACTAGAGACTGCTGGGCCTATCATGGGTAGAACATATCAGCATGCAGTACTAGGGTAGAGTATTCCCTTTATCAGATTACAGTACATACCTTCTACTTCCTTCAGTGCTCCAGACCAGGGCTCCAGTTGATAGATCCAGCTCCTTGCATGAAGTTTGAATCTTTGCCATGACTGATCACATGTAAATTAAACCGAAACAGTCATGGTAACATTGCAATATATCTGATCATTTGCAAATGAATAGAATATATGATCATTCATTACCAGTGAATCTAAAAAATTAGTCTATAAAATCATGATGTGATGTCAGGTATACCAGGATGTCCACAAATCATTGATTAGATAATGAATATCTTTGTGTTTGCAAGTTTCTACTACATCTATTTCTGTCATGAAACAAAACTAGCGGCAGGTGTGAGGTTAATTAAAAATTACACAGCATACCTGTTTCTGTCTGTGATGCCAAGCTTTCAACCTAGTTGCTTCAGTCACAGGAACTCTAACAATTTGATCTCTAAATCAAACAGAAACAACATTATTTAGACGATTAAATATCTTTTTGTCTAAACTAGACAAGAAGTAGGACCTACCATTCATCAACATCACATTGAATTTCTATTAGCTATAGATGCTCCATACCAAATTAGGTAAAAATCCCTTCCTCCATAGTAGTCTTTTACAATAATATTTGCATTGTCCCTTTATCAAGAAGGGTACACCCTTCATTTATTCGATATTGAATTCCCTTGGCCTTAGACTATAAGCTCCATGCCAATCCAGGTCAATATCCTTTCACCCATATTTAAGGAGTTAGTCTTACAAAGATTAAGCCCTTTTTTCCATTTTTGAGCCCTGCAACTCTGCCTAAGATGGGATTAAACCCTTCATTTATACAATATTCAATACATAAATTGGCTCAAGGTGATGAGATTTATTCATGATCACTTAAGGTAAAGGTACCACTGCATCATATATAACCACCAACAAGTGTTCCACTCAGTTTTCTTGAAGAACTTTTTTTGACTCGGAGTGTTCTTCCTTCTGAACAGAAGATGAAACAGACAAAAAGAGTTTATCTGCCCTAGAGTTACTTTCCCTGTCAATTTTTTCTTATGCTTTGGGGCCCTATAAATTGGACACTCATTTTGATGCCCTGCTATTGGTAAAGTGTATAAGTGCAATATTAAGGACCTGAGTTTGATTTCTGCAGTTTTCTTTTTTTTGGTGTTTCACAATATTTCACAGTAGTGAGGATGGTAATAATATAGTTTAATTTGTTGGTACCCTTTACCTTAAGCCATTCTGGACTAACAAATTTTAAAGGAAAGGTCGATGGATGGATGATAGACTAAACAGATAATGGACATAGTGCCAGAGCATGAGCTTACTTGGCACTTTACGATAGGGTTCTGTTTTAGGAACCAATGCAACCAGTCGAACTGTAGGAGGCACATCTTACCAGAATTGTTTATAATCCAAAATGGATGCTGGTGGCCATGTTGATTTTCAGATATGGGTAAAATGAAACTAGAGCAGGTTATAAATACTTGGTGATTGTGTAGAAAGTTCCCTTTAAAAAAAATCAAAGTGCTCCTTCAAAGGTTATGCCTATTTGCTTTGCAGGCAACACAAAAATGTTTTAGGAACCTGAGCCAAACTGTACATGAAGAAGGCACTATACATTAGAAAAGCATTCAGGAACCAACGAATAGAAGTTACAGGAACAGGACATCAAAAACTGTCTTCAGAGACCACCTAATTGATCTTGCTTACAGACCAATCCAAGCTGGGAATTGCTTGTATATAAAAAAGAATTAAATAAAGTTTTATTTTTAAAAAACATGTATATTGGTTATTGATCAGTTTCAGCATAATTAAATCATGTTTACAATTGAGTTTGATCAGTACAATAAAATGCTCAGTCACCAACCAATGAAATGACAGATATATCAGGTGATTGTTAGCTACGACTTCTTATCTTACTTTACACTCCCTACCAAATCAATCAAAAGACAAACAAGTGTTATTTTCTTCCTGTAATATAGCCATAGACTACAAGAGTACAGGTATGAGACATCATACTGATAGTATAGAAATAATGTATCCAGTGATCAAGTGCCTTGCAGCTTTAAACCTTTCATATAAGAGAATTAGGGCCAAATAAAATTTAGGATGGTTTAACTTTTACTTTTTGACTGTGTGACATGGTAAGTAGGTTTGAACACAGAATCCATGCCTGAGCATGATAATGGTTTCATGTGTATGGGCCCAAGTATGAATACCAGTGTTGTCATAGATGTACACTAATCACCAGATGTAAATACCTGTGTTTAGTCACATGTATGTACACAAGTCATCATGCATCACCTATATTATAGAAAAATCTATTTGGTTTATTGTTCAAATCTAGAAGTTGTAACAAACTTTATTATTATTATGAACTCGAACAATCTGAATATCTCCTTTATCTCATAAATGTTTGAAAAGAAGCAGCTAATATAATGTCTTAGTTGTAGCAGGACAGTTGTGTAAAAAGTAGCAGTTTTGTCGTGTAAAAAGTAACAGTATAGATGTGTTAATGGTAGCAGTATATCTTAATGGTAGAAGTACTGATATACACACTGTAGCAGTATAGATGTGTTAATGGTAACAGTATGTTTTAATGGAAGAAGCATTGATATACACACTGTAGCAGTATAGATGTGTTAATGTAACAGTATGTTTTAATGGTAGAAGTATTGATATACACACTGTAGCAGTATAGATGTGTTCATGGTAATAGTATATGTTAATGGTAGAAGTATTCATATACACGATGTAGCAGTATATATGTGTTCATGGTAACAGTATATCTTAATTGTAGAAGTATTGATATGCACACTGTAGCAGTAGAGATGTGTTAATGGTAGCAGTACTGATATACACACTGCAGCAGTATAGATGTGTTCATGGAAACAGTATATCTTAATGGTAGAAGAATTGATATACACGATGTAGCAGTATAGATGTGTTCATGGTAATAGTATATCTTAATGGTAGAAGTATTGATAAACACACTGTAGCTGTATAGATGTGTTAATGGTAACAGTATATCTTAATGGTAGAAGTATTGATATACACACTGTAGCAGTATAGATGTGTTAATGGTAACAGTATGATGTAATGGTAGAAGTATTGATATACACACTGTAGCAGTATAGATGTGTTAATGGTGAAAATGGAATAGGTTAACAGTAGAAGAAAACCAGTATGGCAATGGAATGGTAAACTGTATCAGAGTTATTTAGGTTGTGCAAAAATACTTTAGAGATTGTATAAATTGCGGCTTTGAGTGTATAAAAAATGCTTAACGTGAGCTTTGAAAAAAATAATAACTACCTGTACACTGACACTACACCATGCAATGATTTCTGTTCTCGCAGCAGTGTCAATTTGTCACGCAGTGGTTGTTTTTCTTTTTGCTGATGGCTTGGAAGGTAATCACATACATCAGCTCCATCTGACAAGCTAATGTCATCATTACCTTGTATGGATTCAAGAAACTTTTTACTTTTTCTTCGAAATATCTTTGTTTGTGTTCCATCCAAGAAGTCAAAATTATTGCGGTTGCTTCTGTAGTTGACATCAAGAACTTCCTGCTCTGTCTGAAAGTCAGCATCATCCGACCCTACAAATCCAGGGTTGTCTATTTCTTCATACAATATTTCTTGTCTGTCACCTTCCTGGCTTTGTGTTACCAATGACCTTGACATTTCATGGTTTCCATCATTGAACCAAGGCGATTCCATTGTTTCCTGTGAATTCTCAAATTCATAGGTTGCATCATGATCATTATATCTTTCCCATGGTAGTTTTTGCTTTGTTACCAATTTACCATGTGACTTTTCCCTTGAAAATCCATCTTCAAGTGACCCTTCCCTTCGAAATTTGTCCTCTGGTGACCTTTCCCTTGGGAATCTATCTTCTGGTGACCTTTCCCTTGGAAAACTGTTGTCTGGTGACCTTTCCCTTGAAAATCTATCTTCAGGTGACCTTCCCCTTGGAAATCTATCTTCTGGTGACCTTTCCCTTGAAAAATGTTCATCTGGTGACCTATCTTTTTGCAAATTTTCCAAAAGCAACCTCTGTCCTCGAGGGCTTATATGGTTATCATCTGAGTATGAGTCATTATACTGAGCAAAACGATTTCCATGACTGGTGAAGGCAATGTTTTCCTGTTCATAGTCTGGGACAAGCTCTGCATTCATAGGTGCTGCTCCATGAACTCTATCCTCTTGTTGCCATGTTTCTCCTGGGTAATGTCCTGTATAGGAACCTTGAGATTGCTGTTCAAAACTGCTAGAGTGATAGTCATGTTGGTGCCTTGTGTCCATAATACCAATCTCGTTGCCAGTGCCATAATCTGGATAGTGTTCACCATATTTGTTTTTTGTGTTGAATGTCATTTTTAGAAATAGAAATGTTGAACTGAATTCTCACAGCTAGTAGGTGTAATATATCCACAAATTGCTGTTCCTTGTGAAAAAAAACATCTGTGTAAATAAAACGTGCTTCACTGTTGACTTTGAAATCAGTAAAATATTTTCTTCCAAAAACGATCACAATCCCTTCCAGTGTGAATGTACACAAGCATATCCTTCCTTGTAAAACTGTTCTAGTTAGAAATGAAGCACCCTTACCTTGGTAGCTCATATACTGTATTACCTCATAATATTGACCAGGATCTTTTTGAACGAGGTGATAACATTATGCCTGGCCAATCCGGTGTCTGTCACACAGCGGTAAGCACTCCAATACCCTTATCTTGAAATACTGCAAAGCAATAAATAAAATGCACTGATTTCCTTGACACTATATTGATCTCGTTCGTTTTATATACGAGGCACATGTTTTTCATTTCTTAATGATAGAGCTGAGGATGCATTATTTAAACTGAAATGCAATATATTTTTAGCTGATTGAGTTTTGTAAAATCTCTCAATCAATTGTCTTTTTTCTAATATATACTATTTAGCATGTTTGACTGCTATTTTATGCTAGATAGGTACGGCAATGCTAAAGATAGGGGTTGTACTTCCTGAATGCACCTGGTCTAACTAGGACACTGTTGTATCTGGTGACATTTACATGGACGGTGATAAGTAGATAAACTTTAACCTTAATACGATTTGTCTATCATATCTATGATCAGACCCCTCACACCATTGATTTTATCTACACAGATATAGATACCTGGTATAGGGATATATGACCACATTAAAATTATTAAAACACTGTCAAATAATACAAGACAGAAGTGAACAAAGAGAGCTGAACTCTGATAATAATTAATTTACTAAGACAACTCTTTTCATTTTTATTTTGCTGTAACTTTACACATAATACAATAAGACAGAAAGGCCACATAATGATAGCTGTATTTGCTAATGACCTATTTGCTTCTAGAAAATAGCTTGGCTTGACCCTGCTGTCATTCTTTCTGTAACAGGAGAGGAAAAATGCACAGCCAGACCGGGGTTCAAACCCGGGACCTTCCGAACTCTAGATGGACGCTCAACCAATTGAGCTATCTGGTCGCCAACGATCGACCCAGTCCAGTTCCGGTACATTCTCCCTCCTTTAACTAAGTCTTCGACCCCGAAGACACACGAGACCCTATACCACTTTCTGTGGGTATATTTCTTTGGGTGCCAAATGTAACAGGAGAGGAAAAATGCATGGCCAGACCAGGGTTCGAACACGGGACCTTTCAAACTCTAGACGGACGCTCAACCAATTGAGCTATCTGGTCGCCAACGATCGACCCAGTCCAGTTCCGGTACATTTCCAATGCTTTCCAATGTGTTGGAGTTTCAAGCAGTCTGATTAGATAATATAGTATAGATAATATTTTCTATGAAATGTTCATTTTTTATGAAATTGATTAGTTGTAGATGAAGAATTATAAACATTATGTTTGTGTATCCAAAGTCCCTTCTTCCAAACACCTCCACTAAATGGAGCTAATCCCGAGACTTCTGATTCCTAGTCTAGTGGTCTACCAATTAACCTAAAGGGAAATCCCCTCTAGTAACGGCAGTAACAAGTTATTAGCTCATCATTGTAGCATACTCCCAGTTTAGTTCCCCACTGTGATATTAGGACTATGTACAGGGAATTACTGATATCTAATTTGAATATATAAATACATGTAAGTACATAACAAATCCTGCTATAAAATCAAACACTGACCTCGAGGAAAACAAGGCATGTTTTTCAATTTGAAAAGTTTGTAATACATAAAAACAAAATGACGCAATTATTATCCAACCTAAGTTTCTATCATTCTAATTGTATGTGCAAGTTGACTTTCAATGACCTGAAGTTTTCATGATTCAATATACAATTCATCAAAGAAATAATTTGGGGATCTGAAATAAATTATTTTAAACATTTTCCCTTTTGCAGGCTTATCTTTCTTATACATGTACCTTAAAAAGACTGTCGTGTCAACTTGAAATATAAAACATAATAACTTCTGTGAAATTTAAATGATATCCACCGTAAGTAGACCAGTCTTGAAATCCAGGTATATTGTGATGAAATTCAAACATTTCTGTTAAGATAAGCATGAAGTGTTCTTTTCATTTTTAAGTCACGTGGATTTTTCATAGTACACAAATAGAGATCATGTCATGCATCTTTATTTGTCCATGTGAAGATTGATTTGACACAAGTTCCACTAGGGTATTTTCTGCCCTTTACAGGGAGAAATTTGGCCACATTCATGGGACTGAGGCATGCTTTTTTCCAGTTTGAAAAAAAAAACCACAGTGACACAAACTAGAACGTATTTTCTAGTTGCCACACAACACAATTGTTTACCTATAGTTCTAATCTCCTAGTGTGTAAATTGATTTGTGTGCAATTTATTATCCTTTTGAGAGAGGAACAATTATGTGCCTGTCAATTGTGTATCTATAAGATTCATTGTTTAGCCCTTTTGCTGCATTTTGGTAATAAAATGTATCAAAATATTGGAGGATCAAGAAAAGGCTGACTACCTGAAACCACTGTGAGGACATATCATGATAATTGCAAAGCAAATGCCATGGAGGTCCACAAAATGCTTTGTAATATCCTTGTATTGTATATCCTTAGGATAAAACACCTAAAGAAAACACAATATTGGATGCAAGAACAGCAACATATTGTAATATCGCAGAAATTAGAAGGCAATTTGGAGTAGGACCTGGTGAACACTGGTAAGGCACGGAAACCCAAGAAGGATCAAACAGCAAAATCATGTTATGCACTGTAATAACTTCAAAGTGTTTGACAGAGAGAGCAACTTGTTCAAGCTGCAGATAAAGGAAGCGATCTGGATACTCTGCAACAGGCCAGTTCTGAAGCGAGATGAGGGGCTCATTGACTCTTGCACATCTATCATCAGGCATTAAACAAAGCATAATCGTATCAATTTGTCAATTTGATAATTTTTTCAAACATTTATAACAATTACATTCAATTATGGCATAGCCGAATTGATAGCAATTTTAGTGTCAATTTGTACTTAACTATTTTACAACTTAGTGCACATATGCTTTCCTGGTCATTCGTCTAATGAAGGTGACAGAATGCATATCATACTAGTTATTGAATCATCACACATAACATTTCACTGGTTTGGCTATAAGAATCTGTACAAAATGTATTACTTTTAACTATGAAATACCACATGCATATTTTTTCATTTGCATATAAACCCCAGATGATGATTATAAATAGCACCAATGACCCCTACTGACCCTGATATATTATGAAATTGATTACAATTGATGTTGTGAACAATAGCGTGACCCTGAATGGTCGCTATAGTTCTGTGTCACATTACTAATGTCACTATGACCATGACATGATGACAAAAAATTAAATTTGAAAGCAAACTAATGATAAAGGAGCATTGCTATTCTTAGCGAGACAATTTATATGATAACTGTCAGATGGTAAATATATTTAATTTGTAGCAAAGAAGAAATGAAATTAATAGTTAAAAAAAAGTTAAAAAATCCATAAATGCTGCATTACAGAGAAAACAGTGAAAAATTGGCAAATTATTCCACTTGAAAGACTTTCTTACAATTTTTTTTATAGAAAGAGTTTCATTCCCTATATTTCTCTTCATTCTGTAGGTTAGAATGTCATTTAAATTTAATCATATATATGGAATTCGGTATAGGAAGTAAGAATAAAGAATTAAGCTCTTGAAACTTTAAACAATGTTGGCTTTCCAGTTTCCATACGTACACCACAGCAAGTCAGCAAGTGATGTTTTAAGTCTAACCCTATCTTTGGGTTGATGATCTCTGTTGGATCCTAGAAAAAAGTATTGTATGCCCAATGCCCACCCCAAACCCCTTACCAAAAATATACCAAATATTACAATGTTGATGCAAGATAATAATCAGACAACATTAGGAGTGAAATTGTATCAAAGTATTTTACCTAACAGCTTTCTTAACTTGTATAGAGGCAGCCATGGACTTGATACTCTGTCTCCTATTCCATACCTCTTCTTCATTTTCTATGTCCTCAACCATGTTCATTGACCGTGACTGTTTTCGGGCATGACTCAACTTTTCCTCTTCCGTTTCAAAAATATTCAAAGGGTATATAGAAGATCGTCTTCGCTGTATCAAAGAGCTTTTACGGCGTGGCAGATCAGCTATGTGTCTACCCAGAACAAGACCTGTCAAGGAGTTGTAGGCCTGGGCACTGGGCAACTGTGCCATGATGGCTGCCCTACTCTCTCTCCTCCTCTGTAGACTGATAAGATTGGCATCACTGACAGGATGGGTGGACAACACAATTCCTACAACCATAAAGGTAATTATATTTGTGGAGAAGGCACATAACTCATAGTAAATAAGATAAATTTCACTGAAAGGAGGGGCATGGATGATACATTTGTGATGCTGTTCTAACAGACTGAAATTTGAATTTGTCTTATCAGAAGCTACAAAGCTCAGGTATCCCCCCCCCCAAACTGTATAATGATATTTTCCCTCAAATACTGATGCATTGTACTTCACAAAAAAATATTTTAATATTTAGAATGTTAAGGGATTCAATATTATAGACGGAGAATTTGCCTTTTAGAACTCATTCTATTGATTATTCATCAGGTTCATATTTTTAACAGGTTACATAAACATAACAATAAACATAAACCATCAAAGGTTCATAATTATTTAGGTCAATCTGATTAAAATCATCTGTTACATGGCTAGTACGAAGTTAACGAAGCCATGTAACATATGATTTTAATCAGATTGTATTTAGGTCAAACTATGGCAAAGTAAAAATAATGTTTTATCAAGAAATGATTTCAAGATTTTTTTTTTTAGTTTTGACACACTCGTGGTTTACAGCTTTCTGTCACCAGGAGGAAATTACATTATATAATTGATGTAAACCAGTAATCTTGATCTCATGGCTAAACCTTGACCACCAGTAAATCTTGATCATCAATTAACACTCATCACCTGTAAGCTATAATCATCAGTAATCAGCAATTTCAGACTATTGCTGTCAACCAGTAATAATTATATTGACAATCAGTAACCTTGATCCTCAGTAACTTTGACTATCAGTAACTTGTATCACTAGTAACCTTGACCAGCAGTTATATAACCTTAATCACCAGAAGTTGTCACCAGTAACCTTGAGAATCCATAACTTGACACTAGTAACCTTAGTCACCAGAAGTAGTCACCAGTAACCTTTCTTGTCACCATTGGCCAGTAGCTTGATCATTCATAACTTGCATTGGTAACCCAGGGATTAATGCAGGAATAGAAAGTTAGTACCCT